CCTTAGCACAAAGGAAGGCGTTACTGCCTCAGCAGAGAGGAAAGTAGAGAAAAGGAGGTTTCTGCTTTGTCCAGAGGAGTTGCTCTCTAAGGTAAAGGGTCTGTGGAGTGAAGATCATAGAATCATAGAATAGTTAGGGTTGGAAAGGACCTTAAGATCATCCAGTTCCAATCCCCCTGGCATGGGCAGGGACACCTCACACTAAGCCATGCCACCCAAGGCTTCGTCCAACCTGGCCTTGAAAGATCTTTAGTTTAGATGTGGGGTGAGTTAGTGCTTTGCCCAGAGCAAAGACTCTCAAGCTAATGAGCTAATTAACTGGTTGGTTTTGTGTCTCCAAAGCAGTTCTGAGGGTCTCTGTGTTGCTGGAAGCTCTACGCTATCTCACCTGTGAATCCCACCCACTGAACTCCTCCTCTTGGCCTCTGCTTTGTGTCCCTTCCTCCCAGATCCTGTGGGCTTATCCGAGGCCCCACATTACTCAGAGTTCATCCCTGGTGGTGTGGCTGGGTAATACTGCGGAGAGGCCTCTGCTGGCTCCATCCTTGTGCTCAGCAAGATGGAGAAGCCACCTGTGGTGCCCAAAATAGCCTCAGCCTGGTCAATCCAATCCAAATGGTGTTGATAGTGGAGGGAATTCCCATACTTCATGAAGAGGCTTTTTGTTGGGAGGATCTAAGCTGAGCTCCAGGCCTTGCCAGCTGCGGAGAGGAGCAGATGGAGCTGCAATATATAAATAGACTGAAGCAGACTTGTTCCGCCTCTTTTCTTCACCAGCTCAAAGTACAGTCCCAGCGGTGCCTGGTCAGCAGCACCAGAGCAGAGAAGTGGGTGCTTTGCAGCTGCCAGTCTGCCTGGAGCCCATTAGCTATTGTCAGAGACAAGAATTTATCTCTCTCCAGCCCTGTTTGCCTTACAGCTGCCTGTGGACAATCTTGTTTGCTCACAGCTGTTGGCAGCATGTTACATCCCATTTCCCTGGGGCAGCACAAGCAGGAGAATGGGACACTTTTATGAGACACTATGTTCCTGTACCCTTCTATACTCAAGAAGCAGAGGTACTAATCTGTGGCTTTGTCCCCCTGGATGAGATCTGTGTAGAGCACCTAAGGAAACGTGCTGAAGACATGCACCAGTGTGTCACAGGCAGTTTCAACCAGTTGGTTGGTAGATTTTGCTGCAGTCAAGTCTCTCTATTTACTGCACATGGAAATCTCACCTTTTCCCAATCCCAGCTACATTGGAGTGCTGTGATCTCTGTTGTTGCTCCAAGTGACTTGGCTGCTTGTTGCAGTGCCTTAAGTTCGTATCAAAGCTCTGAGGTTACAACACCATCCAAAGACATCTGAGGCTGACTGCCCTTTGTGTCTCTTGTAACGGAAAATGGGGTGACTCCTGTGGATACCTCTTGGCCCAGTTGTTCATCCCAGTGCTTTCTATCTAGGATTAGAAATTTTGCAACTCTAAAATACAATGGTTTTAGCAAAACAAAAGCAACTGCAAGGCTGCATCAGTGCTCGGAACAGAGCAGGCAGGATGTGGTCCCTCTGCATTGTGCCTGCAGAGCACTGCTATCCCATCAGTCCTAAACCATGTGTTTGCATAAAACCACCTTGTCAGTTGGCATCCCCACTCCATCCCCTCCTGCTAACTGAATAAGAATCACATAGATGTTTCCTGAATGGGCTTTCATAAGGCACTAATTTGATCCACTCAGGGCATCTTCCTGTAATGAATATTCCTGAGGTAAGGTAATTGAAGGTGAATTTGTATGGGTGGGTGGGGGAACAGGGCAGAACTGCTGGCAGAGATGGTGGGAGGAACAGAAGAAAACCCTTTTGTTCTTTGGACAAACCAGTATGGCCTCTCACTTCATGTTTATGAGGCCTTCTTTTGCTTTTGGAGGGTTTTCCCCTTTGTTTGCTTGCTTTCTGTTTGTTGCCCCAACTCTCTCTCTGTGCAGACCACGTTCTGGAATTGTGCTCAGGAAGATGTTCCTGTGTTTCTCAGCTGTAACGTAACTGACCCTTTGTTAAGGTATTTCGGTTGGGTGCCCCTGAAGGCTGAGCAGCTCTGGTCAGGAGCAACAAGACTTTCTCACTCTGAGTGTTCACTGGACTGACAACTCATGAAAGTGCTATTTTCCCTCACCTCGGTTAAACTGCTAACATGTCCCGGCATGCACAAGACACAATAAGCCCAAAGGGCTCATTGTTAAACAAGGTAGGTCATGCTAAGAGGCTGGGCTTTAGATGGTTTTCAATGCTTCCCTCTGTTGTTTGTCAAGGATCAGACAGAGAGGTGATGTGGCAGAACTGTCCATAGCATGAATGGAAAACACTGTGTTCAAGTTCTCTGTAAAGGCCCAAGAATAGCCACCTCGGTGCTTCCTGCGTCTGGTTGCTGGTAAACCATCAGAGACACTTTCTGTGGGTTAAATTGAAGTCTCTACGTTTAAGAGGGGAAACAATCTTCTTAAATATTTCTTTTGCTGTTAACCTTGGCCCTTGCTTTGCTAGCAGCTGTACACACTGAACAAGCTAAAAAAGAACACAGTGTAGAAAAATTAGACATAGAAATAAGACAGAGTAACAGAAACCAATTTGATCATGTGTCTGATCTCATCCACACTGTACAGGAGCTGTGAATCTTAAGCAGGCAGCTAAGAGACAAATGGTACTCAGTTTAGAAGCTTGCTTTGAGTGTATGAAAGTAAGTGAGAACATACTTACAGGTCAAGGACACATGGGTGAATGACTGGCAAATCAGAAGCAGGAGGAAAGAGTGGGATGCGGAGATCTGAACTGGGAGGGATTATTGCCTGGGACATGGGTATTTTGTCTAATGCATAAGGAGATGGAAAGGTGAAGAAAGGCCACGGGCATAGTAACTATTTGCAAATTGCACTATGTCATCTTTCTGATTTTAGCAATTGTTTGGTGCAGGCAGCAATACATCTGCATGCTACATCCATCCATCTTCATGAGAGCTGGGTTAAACTGCACAATCATTACGAACATCATTTGCCGGCTGCTCCCAGCTTCTGTCTGGTAATCTGTGGCTCCAGGGTCTGGGCACTAACATTCTGAAACTGTGATCATTTGGATGGTGTTTTTATGCTGCTGCTTCTCTCACCTTTTTATTCCATCATTCTGCTAAATCACTGTAAGTAAAATTCCTCTAGGCCTGGTAATTCAAGATCTTCTGACTCACCATAACTAGAGAATGGTTCTTTGTACCTCTAAGAAGTGAGGAATCCTTCTACTAACATTTTGCTTCTAGCCTTGGGGAGAACTCCTGCACTGAAAACGACAGCTTTGTGTACGCAAAGCTTCCCAGGTAGTCTGGTAATGGTTTCTAAAGAGGGCTTGCTTATGTTGCAGAATTACACTATGTTATAAGGATGCTTTGAGGACCTGTACATTTAACATGAAATTAAGCACATAACATGAACAGAGAAGCGTGGACCAGCAGATGTGATAGTCAGTGTATCATATTTTTGTGATGAATTTTGTATTGAATGCAAGGTCCAAGCGAACCTCAGAAGTGTTGCAATTCCTCAGGACCACAGCCTAACTTTGTGTTGGTTTACAGCCCTTTGGTGTAATTGCTTCTTCCCTCCAAAAGCCTGAACAGTTGGATTTATGGTGACAAAAGCAATTCAGCAAGGAAGGAAATGAAAAATGGTACCCCTGTGTATTAGAAAAGAGGCTGGGTATGGTCTGAGTCACAGCACATGTAGGAGACACTCTGGCATCCCCCAGCTGTCCCATCCCACAATAACAGTACCACTGCTGCTCTCCTCTGTTTGGGAACTGCTGCTCCCAGTGACTGTTTCCAAGCATAAACATCTTTAAAAGCCTCTCTGCCATCATCTGTAAATGGTGATCCCGCAGCCACTCTCAATGGGAACTACTGGTATTAACCTCTCCATTCTGCCCTAGTATCAGTTTGTTCATTAGCTTGCTATGGTTTGGCTGCATGCCTGTTAATTTTCACCTACTGCCCAGCTCTCTGGGGAGAACATACAACCCTAGTGTCACAGGATGGTAAAAATCTACAGCTGGAGGGGATGCAGCAGTAATAGAGATGAACGCTGGCTTCCTGGGTCAGTTACAAATTTTGGTGCCTTTTGAAGGGGCCATATGGACCCTACTCACACATCATCACCTCCGCTTGAAATACCTGATAATGCTCTGCTGAGTCAGGGTGAGGAGGGGAAGATGAATCGGTCTGTAAGCACACGTGGGCTCTGTACTAATTTTTCTGGTTAACACAGGAGGAGGAGGCTGTGTTAAAGGGGCACCCCTGGGCACAGCCTGGCTTGATGGAGGCTTTTAAACATGATTTTCTTTTATTCAGTTCCTAGAAATGATCTGATGCTGGTGGTTGTCATTATGCTGGAACCAGGAGGAACTGAACTGAGCATCAACAGGTTTGTGAGTGATGTGGTTGTGACTGCTTCCCACTGTGGAACAAAAGATGTAAAAGCATAGAATGCAGGTACTAAAACATAGATATGAAGACTTTGCAAGCTCCCTTTTTCTCTGGAGACTGAATCAAGTAGAGAGTGTGTTGGGGGAAGATGTGCTGTAGCATTGCCTTTTTCTGCTGTCACTGATAAAGGAAAACAATGCTCCTTTATTGTCACTGAGTGCTGTGAATATCCTGTCAGATCAGTAAGAGAGTTGATTTGGTAAGGAGGTGCTGGGCTAGCTGTTTATGGGACAAGGCGCTATCCCATTTCTTTTTTCCCTGCATGCCCCAGTTATCCATCCCACAGCCCTGCCACACTCACTCATTTCCTGCACTCCCTTACATCTGTGGGTGGACTATGTCTTGCAGACGATCTATCCAGGGAGCATGTGTTACATTTGCCTCCTGTTCCTGTGGCTCTGGGGATGTTTGTTCCCTCACCAGTTATTTCTGAGATTCTGTGCAAGTGCAGGGTGTGAGGGAAGTGGAAATCTTCAGGCATGCAAATAACAGTCAGGGCTATGTATTGTTTCAAAACCATTTACTTCTGGTGGGTAAAAAGAAAAGTCCCCTGCTCAGGGACTTTCTCAACCAGTTGCTTCTTGGAGCAAAGCAAGAGCTAGTGCTCCTGTTGTTAAGTATTCCCCCAGGAGATCCTACATAATCTTTGAAGTAGGCTCATTTGTTTGTGTGTTGGCTGTCTCCATCTCTCTCCTCTTCTTTCCTCCCTCACTTCCTCCGTCCCTCTCCCCTCCCATTGCCTTCTACCCACAGCAACTTTAAACAGCATCTTTTGAATAATCTGTGTTGACACAAGCAGTCTTAGTTGTAGTTGCTGGAGGGGTTGGGAAGGCTCCTCAAGCAAGGAATGTTCAGTCCTTGGGGTCATGGAAACCAGCCAGGAATTTCTGCTCTCCCATTCCCAGGGGCACGAGGATCCTGCAGAGAAGAACCAAAGGTGACCATTTCCTCAGTTTAAATGTCGTTGACCTGAGTTGGAAATGTTTTCCAAGACTTTTTAAGATCAAGAGAGCAGTTTTGGAAATATGACTAATATCTTGATGGAGGAGGAGAAGTGATAATTTGCAATTATAGAGCCCTATAATATGGTAGAGAAAATTGTCATATGAAAAAAGGAAAGCACTAGGCACTGTCTCTTTCAAGCCTTCAAAGCTTTTTCTTTCCCCCCCACCTGATACATGTGTGTGGCTTTGCTCAGGGCAGGGCTGGATATTAAATGGCCAAGGATCATTTCTTGCATGTGTGAACACAAAATATCAAGGTATTCTAAGAAGTTAGCTATATTCCATATGATCACTGAGGACAGTGTGCTACTCAGAAGGAAAGAGGAGGTGACAGTGGGACTAAAGCTGTCTCTTTTCTCCAAGACTGATATCTTAACAGCTCTCATGGGAGGAAGGACATGTTCAACCTATTAGGATAATGGAATAATATGTTGAACATATCGGCTTTGACGGAGAGCAGCTGGTGGCTGTAGACACAAATAACCTAAGGAAAACAAATTGAAATGTTTCAGGAAATGGCTATATGCATGCAGTGCCGGGGGAGGGTGGGGGCAGGAGGGTGCCCTGTGTGTAAAAGAAGAATGATAAAAGCCCCTCTCTTTGGCTGTGGGAGGAGTGTCTCGCTCATTACTGGAGAGGACTACATTCCATCCTGAATAGTAGATGATGGCTATAAATTTAGTACTGTCTTCTCTTATGGACCCGCTGAACTCTGCACTGTGAGGTTGGACCAAAGCTCCACGTGGAGCCTAGTCTTTTCATCTTTGTCCAACTAGTTTAAATTCTAGTGTCCTACACTGCTGTCCAGCAATGAAATGGTTAACACAGACTTTTTATTTCTGTGTTTGCATAAAGCCAGTCTTTGTATTTTGGATCCCAGTGAGATACCTGGGTAGAAGGCAATTACTCTTCTTGGAGCTTTGATTTCAGGCTGTCTGCGGACTTCAGCAGATGCTATTTCAGCTGCTCTATTCACGCATGATTTTTTTTTTTCCTTTAAACTGTGAAAGATAGAAATATACTTTTCTGTCTAAATTAAAGCTCAGATCCTGAACTGTAGCATGTCAGGCAAACCTCAGCCAGTTGGTGGATGAATGCATAACCATATAGGTAGTAGATTCTTTCAGTGCCTCTCTCAAGTCAAGAGCTATGTATTGTCTACAGGCAACGTGCAAGTCTGTTCTGTGCTTACAACCCAGCTGGCTGGTCGGCAATATGTTGTGTGACCACCATACCAGCTGACTCCAGGGGTTCAGTCTGCTGTGGCTAGGAGCAACATGATACGAAAGACAGTATCAGTGATGTAAGCTGCTAACAAGCCTTTGAAAGACACTGAAGACACCCAAGATCTTGATGAGGCCAGTCAGTCCTCTTCTTCTCCTCTTGGTCACTGTAGATCCACTCTTGCCCTGTGCACACACTCTGCTCTGTGTCTTCAGCTCATGCCATTATGAGTCAGCAAGCACGTGTATGTGCTCAAGCAGAAGGAGAGTAGAATGTGTTACACTCTTCATAAATGCAGCTGCCTGCTTCCTTGTTTGCCAGCAGCATCTTGGCAGCAACTATCACTTTTTTGCAAGAATGTGCTTGGTAAAAGGTACACTATTGACATACACTCCATTGACGAGTTATTTCTGGCACAGACGGAGCTGGAAGGAAGTCAGCATTACACACAGACACTCTTTGGCCTGGGAAGGTCTGAGAACCCTTTAAATACTTGGCTCAGAAACTGCTCTTTTCCTTTTATCTAGGAGATTTTTGCTTTCCTGTTAAGTTAATTAAACTTCTGTTTTGTCTTCCTCATGCCCTTTTGCCAACATCTAGCCTTTTCATGAAGACACTAGTTCAATAACCATCATTTATAGCGTCACGCTTAGGTTACTACTGTTTGTTCGCCATGTGCAGCTGCAACCATCTGCCCAATTTCACATGTTGCTGTGAGCCAGAGATACTGGGCTTCAGTGCACAAATGTGCTGTTGAGGACTCACAGTGTCCCTTCCATGAGCTGTCCTTAAAAGATCTGTTGTCTTCCCACTTGTTTCCCCTGGACAACTGATTTGGATTGTGGTGGAGTCTGCAGTTCAAGTGAAATATTACTTCTGGTTAGCACCTTTGATATTTTCACCTTGGAATAAGAGTATGTTGCTCAGAAATAAATTATAAAGCAGATCAAATTATTTTGAAGCAGAAGTTTCCACGCTGGGTGTCAGTTTAAGTCCCTGTGTACAAACCCCCTCAATGCCTGAAATCTTGACAGACGGTGCTCCTCAGTGTCAGGGGCTATCATCAACTCATTGGACAAATTCAACTGAAGGGTTGAAGCCACCTTCCCCACTTCTTAGCACAAACCTGTGCTCCTACATCGTGTTGCAGCAGTGTGAGCCCTCAGATGCTCCCTTTTTTCCTTCTGTTCCCTGCCACCCAAATCACACTGCAGCCCTAGTTACCTCTGCTCTGTGGGACCTGAGTTGGATAGCTACTGGGAGAGAGCATCTGAGTATGGAGAATGTTCTGTCTTTGGGCCAGTCCATACAATCTGCACTGGAGGTCCTTTTTTTTAGTGCTTGTGTATATGCCTAACAGGTTCTCCTTAATAATCATAATGAAGTAGGAAGGGTCTCATGCTTTGTGAGAGGCAGGCCTTATTCTAATTTCATGGCTGACAGCTTGAATGCCTTCCCAGGATGCAAGACGTTGACTGTTAGTAGGTGTTATTGTTCCTTTTGTGCTGCCAAGTGTGAAACTAAAGATTAATGTAGCCCTTTATTGACTGCAGTGTGCAGGCTTTGACCTGCCTGAAGAATATTCAGTGCCTATCCTAAAAGTTATGTGTTAGGCTTTCAGTTCAGCGGGCAGGAGGTAGAAACAAACCTCTTCAACCTCCTTGTTGAGTTGCTTTGAATTAACATCAAACCCAAACCCATTCAACATTATGTTTTAACTTGGATGGCTCTGAGGTAGCTTTTTGGCATTACTTTACACTCGGATGCTTTACAGAGGGCTTAATGACTGAAAATTGTCCTTTTCAGAATTTCAAATAAGTCCCCATTATTTTTTATATGTCATCCCTATCAACACTTTTTATCAAATGCTATCAAATGCTTTTTAGAATTTTAATTTTAGAAATTTCTAAAGTTAAATTTCAGAAGTTTCTAGAATTCAAATAGAGATTCCCCCCAGAGAGGAGCTCCTTGAGGATTTTGAAGCCAGGCACACTTGAAGACCATCTTCCTCAAAATCAGGTTGTTCAATCCCAAATTAAATGTTTGCTGGTTCCATGCTCTAACAATATTCTTACCAGGAACCTGGCAGTACACACACATCATGTTCCAGACTCTGCCTCATCTCTCCAGCTCTTGCACTTTGAACTACCTTATTTCTGCAAGGATTGAAACAAAAGCTCTTTCTCCTAATATGAGGGGAGGGACATCTTCCTCTTCCCAGATTATACCTAAAATTCATTCACTTTGGTATAGACTACTCCTGCTTTGATGAAGGATTAAACACTCTATTTATAGTAGGCGCTTAAAGACCGGGCTTCCTGAACCCTTGGAAAACAAATGTGCCAGATTTTATTCTTTTGTTCTTTTAATAAACCGTCCATGAGATTCTTCCCCTCCCCTCCTTTCCTGCTGGTTTACTTACATATGTTCAGTGTTTTTCTCTTCTGTCTTTGTTCCAGTTTATCAGCAATTTACACACAGTTGTTTCCCAGACTCCACGATTTCAACAGCAAAAATAACACTGACCTTTTGAGCCCATGAGCAATCTTGTTGGTGGTAATTTAGCAGAAAGTTACAGTAATGAACAAGAATGCTGCTCTTAAATGCTAGATCATTAAATGTGTTTTATGAGTGTACTATTTCTTTAATGCCCTTCCTGTGCATGAGGGAGATAGCCATATTCCAGGGAAGAATGAAGTTTTTAATTGGGAAAAGTGGTCAATTTGTGAGTCTGTTCTGGTTTAAAGATTACATTTCCAGGTGTGATTTAGTCAAAGCAAGCAAGGAGATTATTTCTAGCTAGAACAACAACAGCACTAACAACAGAAGGACTCTACCAAAGGTACTTTAACTTTGAAAACTGTGAGCTGAACTCTTCCCGTGGGAGGGAGAAGAAGGTGACTGAAAACTTGTATTTCACCCCCAGACTTGGGGCTGGTTAGGGACTGCTCTGGTCCCAGGCATGCCTGAGAGCAGGCAAAATGTATTGTCAACAATTAACTTCCTTAGTTTTCAGCCACTTCCCCTCACCCAGCCTTCAGAATAGCAGGAAGCCCAAAGCAGATGACACAAAGCCAACTATATGAGGTTTATAATTTGGCTCTCCCACCCGATAGGTGATTGTACCTGTGTTTTTTTGCAGAGTCCAGGGGAAAGGCAGCAAATCACATTGTAGACCAGAATTTTCCATCCATATCAAAATTCTCAACTTTGCTTTGGCTTAAGTTTACATACAGACCCATTCTAAAGCTGGTAAGAATACTTGTAAAGATTTAAGTAGAGTCAGAGAAAGAGCTCTGTGTCTGGAACCAGTGTAAATGAAAAAGAAACCAAACTGAGCCACAACAAAACCAATAACAAAAAACCCAAACCCAAAAAACGCAGCCAAAGTTAAGTGTTATTAACAAGAGGTTGTGGTACAAAGGAATGACTTTACAACAGAGTATGTTGGTTTTCCTTAGAGCTCATTTGGCTCAACATATAAACCAAAGCAGGACAGAAAGGAAGTTTAGCAACTTTCTTCCTTCTTTTAGCTGAGAATGTTTAAATCAGGTGGGTTCCAAGAGAATTGTTTTATATCTCCATATGAAGCAAGTGAACGTGCATTTGAGGTGAAGCAATGTAAGGATCAGTTTCAGTAATATATTTTGCAGAACAACTCAGTACTTTATTTTGTGGCCACTGGAAAAGGCCAGTGTAGAAGGTCATTTGAAGGGTGTTGCAGCATCTAGAAAGCAAGCTCAGACAGAACATCAATATCATGTGGCCTTGCAGGACACATCTGCGTCCACATCCACTTAAATCCCTTGATAGGTGTCAACAACAAGCAGCACGACCTTGTGGGTGATCTGGAACAGTTACAGCATTAGGGACATGAGTTGTTCATTTATTTAGCTGCTCTGGGGAACTCTGTGTGACCCATTTTAGGTAATGACAGGAGAAGAAAGTGTCTGGAAACAAGATTCGCATGATAGTAGCAGGGTTTGAAAGATGCTGGGTGTTTCAGAGGAGTGTATGTACATACTACTAACTTAGGAAGGAAAGACAGAAATGCTGCCTACAATACTGCCTACTAGCTCTGTATGTGATGCTGTTCAGCCTTTGCTCCTATCTTGGGTTACAGTGGAAAGACTTTGTTTGTTTGCTTAAATCTTTTCTTGGGTCTTTCCCAGTTTTAGCCTGAACTCTAGATGTTTGGCTCTTAACTTCATTCTCCAGGGTGCTTCTGACTAATGCCAGGGTGCTATTGTGGGGTTTTACAGGAACCCTTGGGAACAGTCTTGTAGCACAGTGTGGACCAGAGTTACCAAAACCAAGTTTTAGCTCCGAGATGGTATCTCTGTAACACAGGGTTTCAACACAGAAGTGCCAAAGAACTGCTTTTTGTACAGATTACACTGTGTGGTCCTGACTTCTACATCTGACTTCCTGGACCACCCTGACTGAGGGCAATAGAGATGAAAACTTCAGAAATGTTTTGCAGGAATTTTCCCTTGCTTCAAAGAACTTTTGTTCTTTGTAAGTAAAAGACTTACTTCCCTCTGAACACATTATTACAGCCTGTGTTCATCCCAAAAGGTTCAGCTATTTCCCAAAATATTTTCTTGGTCCGGGTAATGCAGAACTGGGAAGAAGCTTAAATACAGATATGTGAATAAGTCAGAAACAGCACTAGGAGCTGAATCCCAGCATCAAACTTAAGATAATTGCAATGACTGAGGTGGAACATTCAGACTTAAATCTAAGCTCTCTAATATGCTTTGTCTGGGATGTGGAAGGCATCTGCCTTTATTAGGTTACTTTCCTGCTGAACATTAACATTTCATGCTTTGAAGGTTTATTGTGTTGGCTAGAGTTATACTTTTATATAGGCACAGTCCCTGTGGAATAGCCTGATCTCCTTTGATCGTTATTAGGCTTGCCATTTCCTATTCACGCAGTCGGGACCTCACTGTGTTCTTGCAGGATGGTTGATATGGTGCACAGGAAATGTACTGTTTTTTCAGATCTCCACTGTTCGTGAGTATTCTTTTAAGGGGCTTCGGTTTTATTGCCATGAAGTCCATTTCCTACATGTAGTACAATTTACTAAATTACAAATAAACAAGGCACCAATAGAGGAGTCAGTGAAAGTTCACACTAAGAATAGAAGCCTGAAGAGAAAAGTTCAGTTATGTGACCTTCTTCAGGAGCTGGATGCAAAATAGACCTGCTGTTCTTCCTTTTAATTTGCAGTCCAGGCAGAAAAGAACTTCAGCAGTTCCCAGAGAAACCCAAGCCCTTCTGTTTGTTTCTACAAATGCTCCAGAAATGCTTTTTCTTTTGGTATCCTGGGTTTGCAGATATGGAAAGGAACTTACTTGGTCTCCTGATTTCCCTCCTGTATTGTCAGCTGATTTCATAGAATAGTTGGGTTGGAAAGGACCTGAAGATCATCCAGTTCCAGCCCCCCTGCCATGGGCAGGGACACCTCACACTAAACCATGTCACCCAAGACTCTCCAACCTGGTCTTGAACACTGCCAGGGATGGAGCATTCACAACCTCCCTGGGCAACCCATTCCAGTGCCTCACCGCCCTTACAGTAAAGAACTTCCTCCTTATATCCAATCTAAACTTCCCCTGTTTCAGTTTTAACCCATTACCCCTTGTCCTGTCACTACAGTCCCTAATGAAGAGTCCCTCCCCAGCATCCCTATAGGCCCCCTTCAGACACTGGAAGGCTGCTATGAGGTCTCCACGCAGCCTTCTCTTCTCCAGGCTAAACAGCCCCAACTTCCTCAGCCTGTCTTCATACAGGAGGTGCTCCAGTCCCCTCATCATCCTCGTGGCCTCCTCTGGTCTTGTTCCAACAGTTCCATGTCCTTTTTATGTTGAGGACACCAGAACTGCACACAATGCTCCAGGTGAGGTCTCACAAGAGCAGAGTAGAGGGGCAGATCACCTCCTTTGAACTGCTGGTCATGCTCCTTTTGATTTTTTGCATTGATCTCGCATTCTGCAATGTTTAAAGATCTGCCAGCCATGAATGGATCAAAGTGTTACCTTTACATACCTTTAAAATTGGCCATTCAACCAAATTAGGATCATCAGATGATAAATATTATGTAAGTATCAGTCACTGCTTATTTTTGCCCTTCAGAATTGTGACTGGAAAAGTAACATAATTCCTAGGAACAGGTTTTTAGGCCCTTGGTCATGAACAGGGAGCTGCTACACCCGTGAGTACAGGACAAATGTACTCAAAACTATGTACTAGCTATCCCAACTTTTTAGAAGCTCCTTCCTCTGAGATGATGGGGTATTTTTCTTCTCCTTCTTATTCACCATTCTTTGCTTTGTAACATATTCTCAGCTTATCTTCAAAATTCCCACAAAGATTAAAGGGTTTCCTCAATAGCAGACTAACACCTTTAGACAGTGCTTTAGGAGTTACTCCAAGGAGTTCCTGCCCCTAGCAAAGCAACGTGTTTATCATGGTGCACTGGGCATACAGAGCATCGCTGTTTCTTTTGGGGTTAAAAAGGGTGGATTAGAGTGAAAGAGTGCTATCTAGGTTATCCAAGCACACTTTCTGTTTAAAGTTAAATGTTAGACACTCTCTGCCTTTTTTCTTCTTTTTTTTTTTTTTATTTATTTAGCCTAAAAGGCTTAATGTTTAACTCAAAATACTGAACAACTGCAAATGCTAAGTGCTGAACGTTGTTACATCCTCCGGAAGACACAAAAACCAGCGCTTAAACTTAGTGCCATATATTTAAATGCCTGCAGCCATCCCTGGGGTCAGTGCTTCATGAGAAAACCATTACCACGTTGTGAATTCTAGTTGCATTTTGAAGCAGAAGGCATAGACAGTAGTTCAGTGGAAGTGCCTGGTTTAACACGATTTATTTAGATGCACTTTGTTTAGCCCCGGAATGAGGTCTTAATTTGTTCAGTCCTTAGTCTGACACTAACTTTGGTTTTGGAATCGATGCCCAAGTATATTGGGCCTCAAACTCATGTTGAAGACAAAATCATTTGTTCGTACTGCCTCCTGTTCAGAGTCTTACTGCTGTAAAACGGGCACACGCATACCTGTGGAAACCATTCCCATTTTACGACCGGCAGTTTCTAAGCCTCTCTGTTGAACGGTACCGTTACACAAAAGCTCCTCAAGATGTTCTGCTTCCAGATGAGTTACTTCCGAGGCTGGGGACTTGCCCCACAAGCACCAAGTTCCCTCTCTGCGGCACCTCAGGCCGCACAACCCAACCAGCCCTGTCGGACCCGGCGCTGGCCCCCGCCGAACCCCGCTGAGGGGAGAGGGGCGGGTTCCAACAGGGCCGCCAAGGGGTAAAGTTCGGGGTGGACGCAAGCGTGGCTCAGGGTCAGCGCGTGCCCAGCCCTTGGAGCGCCTCGCCTCGCCTCGCCTCGCCATGGCCGGGATCCTGGAGTCGGTGGAGTCGTGCCTGGAGCGGCACCTCCCGCCCGAGGAGCTCTCCGAGGTGAAGCGGATCCTGTACGGCGGCGAGGCAAGGTGCGCTGCCCCGCTTCCCGCGCCCCCGCCGCGGGTGGTGTGGCCCGGCCCGGCTCCCTCCTCCCCTTTGGGCGCCGCGGGGCTGCTTAGCCCGGGATGAGGGGAGAGGAGTGGGTTTGAGGAGGGGTGCGCGGGATGCAGGGTGGCTGAAAGGAGAAGGAAGGGTAGGGCCTGTGGTAAGGGGGGTGGTTGCGGAGGTAATCCAGCTTTGGGAAGCTGAGCGGTAACAGAGGTCCTGTGAGAAGGTGGCTGACAGGAATGAGAGACCTGAGAGGGATCTGGTCGGTTTGGGGTGAGGGAGCGGGAAAAGCGGGGATCTGTCATGAGGAAAATACATTAAAGTGTTTGTGATCCGGGGGTGGTAGATGGAGGTTTGTACGTACGTGCGCCTTGATTTCTGTAGCAAGGTGTTATTAATGTCTGGAACTGACGTTTACAGAGGAGGACAGCGGGAGTCTGCTGCCATGGAGGAGAGCAGTGAGGTTTGCACATGACCTGGCTACTGTCTGATACATCCCTTATGCTTGGGAAGTATCAGAAAGTGTTTGGGGCATGGGAGCTCGGGTGTCTGAGAGACAGACTGCATTTGTGATCCTTTTCGTTAACTGCATCTCATCTTGAAAGGTTTTTGTTTCCTCCTCAATTCAGAAAACTTCATTTGCCAGCTGCTGCTCTATCAGCTGCTCAGGAAAGAGATTTTGAGCTGCAGGGCTATGGATTTGATGCCGAGCCAGAGCAATTGAGAAGGCCACGTATTGTTCGAGTGGGACTGATACAGAACAAAATTCCACTGCCCACAGACACAGCAGTGTCAGTCCAGGTACACAAACTGGGAGCTGGGCTGTCTGTGTGTAACTCATGCTCTCCTGGGTTGAGACATAGCGTACAGGTTGATATTAGAAACTCCGTTGTGCAGTGTCTGCTGATTGTCTGGCAATAGGGGACCCATCACTGTTTTAATACAGCATACTCTAAGAAATTTAAATGACACGTTCGGTTTTAATGTTTCTCAGAAACATCTGTTGTGTTGCATTCACCTAGTGAATTGCCCCAGCCCCCCCCTTTGCGGTGTTTCCAAAGCTAAATATTTAGTCACTGATTTTGTCCATGAAAACCCTTTGTCTCTCAAATGAAACGGAAAATCATTTACCCAAAATCAAGCCATGGAAGCACAGGCGCAGTTCTTGTTTTAACCGAGAAATGTTCCATTGTAGGAAAATCTGTTAGGGTAAACACAGATTAATAAAGCTGTGTTCATGATTCTTTGTACAGCAGTAAATGAAATCTTATTACAACGTGACCATCATTTCTCACCATCTTGGACACAAAAGCACTGCGGTGACACATGTAGAGAAATAGCCTCCTAAAAGTAGCTTGTAAAAAGTGAAAGAAAATACCCTATTTCTAAAATCTGGAGCAGTAGTTTTATGCAGTGACAGGACAGAATATTTCTGAAGTAATTTCTTTTGGAAAGATTACCCATCTCAGATGCAAATAATTAATTCAGTAAATGGATCAAGTTTGTGGATTCTTTGTAGCATCTGTTGAAAGATTACCAGTTATATTCTTGATTTTACCTTCTAAATAACTAGTTAACTATTTCTGTAAATCAGTGTACAGTTGTTGAGTTCATAGGTCACTGTTGACTTTTTCTTATTGACAGCTGAACACATCAATGCAAAGGGCTACACCTATGCTTATATTTAAGTAGAATACTCAAGAAAAAAGTACTTTGAAACAGTGTTTTCTGACTAATTAATACATGCTTTGATGTTTTTTCTTAGCAATAATCTGCTTTGGTTTTATGACAGGGATTTAGAAAATAGATTGGAGTTAATAACTCAGAGAGTGTCCAAGATCCGTAAGTGTGAGCAGGATTTGGAGATAATGAAGGAAATACTGTCCTTACATCACGTTTTAAGATTCTGAGTATTTGACTTTGAATTTGTATTTACTTAACATCATTCTGTAGATTGTTTGCAATGAGCAGCAACATTTTTTGCTGATTTTGTTACAGTTTTTTTGCTATTTGCAGATCAGTAAGCAATGAAGTGCCCTGTATTTAAATGTTGTAACCATCGAATTAGAATTCCATTGGATTGCTTTCTCTATTTTCAGCATCTAAATGCTTTTAAAAACCTAACTCTTTCTATTATCAGTGTTCAGAAATGGTAACTTCCTGAGTTATTCCCCCTGAAAGCAATGAGACTAAGTATAGAAAAAGATAAATTCAGTGTGAATAAAACGTGTAAACCCAGGCTGTTAATATACAAATGACTTCGAACATACAGCATTTTTTATAGCATGACATTTCTCACAATCAGGTGGCTGCACTGCACAGACGAATTGCGGAGATTGTGGAAGTAGCTGCACAATCTGGGGTCAACATAGTTTGTTTCCAGGAGGCTTGGAGTGAGTATTTTCTGTGATTTCTCCTAGATTTTCAGAGGTCAAGTTCCTTCTGTTTTAACACATACCCTGTACTAGAAGTATGTTTTATAAGTAAACGGCAGAGATCTTCCAAGATAGAGCAGTTCACTGATTTACTTTCAAGAGGAAAACCCAAAGAATCTTAGTTAGCAAAACTGTGTGGAAGATGCTATAGTGAAGTCTGTTATATTGAAGAGTGGTGTGTGCTGCAACAGTGATATTTCTGGGTGTGCTCCTTTTTCATGTCATCTTTCATGAGCCTTTCCTCTTTTTTTTTTTCTCCTAAAATGTTTGGTTTTTTTCTCTATACAGGTAGTAAGAAAATTCAGTTTTAATGAAGATACAGTCTTTGAGATTGAATAGAGGAAAAACCAAACCGAAGGCTGATAAAATGTTTGTGAAAATTCACAGAAAGTGTACAGTAGTGACTGGGGTATATTTTGTATTTTTACCTCCAGTAAGGCTTCACTGAGTGCATTCTTACTCTTCTGTTTTGCTCTGCAAAGGCCCAAAACTCCCTGTCCTTGTTTAAAATATTTTAACTAGCTTTTGCCTTGAAACAAGGGAAACAGTTGAATCCTTCTTCAGTGCTTAACTATTTTTTGTCTGTATTTGTGCAAGCAGTGTGTATTTCTTGAGTGACATGAACATTCCTGTCAATTTTGTCTTGCGTTGATGTTTTGCAGCCATGCCCTTTGCTTTCTGTACAAGAGAGAAGCTTCCTTGGACTGAATTTGCTGAGTCAGCAGAGGATGGGCCAACAACAAAATTCTGTCAGGAGGTAAAAAAACAATGAAGCAAAAAACCGCCAATGAAGCTTCCAACCCCAGCCCATACCTGCCACTGATGAGCATGGATTTCTTCTTTGTGTACTGGTCTTATACTACTGAGGAAACTGAAATAATAAAAATTTCGACTTGCTTTACAAACATTATGATAGTGAATGAGGTAGAAATGGACAACTGTGCCCAGTATTTAGTGTTTAAGCTATTTGCCTTTATAGACTACGTTGTGCCATGGAAGGCATTTGAAACTGCCCTTTTAACTGTGCCTGAATTTTCAAGGGAGGAACCATTCTTCATATAAATATTTTTAATTTCCATTTCAATGTAAAAGCTCTTTCTTGCCTAGAATAGTTGAGCATTAAGCAATGCTTGTACGAAGGTGTGAGAATAGCCAGGATTTTCTAAACAGGGAACACTTTCACATAAATCTTTGCATCTCCCTGTGAAATGACACCAAATGTAGGAGACTTTGTATGGACCCAAGGAGATTTGTTATTGTCTGGTTTTTATTTTTCCAGAGACTATTGGCTGTAAGGGTGGCAGAGTTTATTTTTGTTTTCTAACATTTTTTTTTAAATAAGGAATTTCAATTATTTTACAAGTGGCTGAAACAACAGGAGACTCTTTTGATGTCAAATTTGCCCAGATATGCACTGACCTATTAAGTTTTTGTAGACAGCATAATATCTTTAGTCTGATCTGTGGAATTAATGACACTGGGGAAGTGTGGATAAATAAGTGATTTGAAGGAAAAGAAGTTGCTCTATTTCTCAACTTATATCTGTGTTATTTAACATTTTACTTTTGTTTTAATAACTGTTTTCAGAATGGAACGGAATCTGTCTCTTCCTATACATGTGACTAGATAGAGGTCAGCTCTGTAGTTTGACCATTGCTGTTAGAATGCTTTTTCCTGTTGGTACCTTGCATTTCTAGTTGAAGGATTCAGGGGGAAGGCTGTCTGTGATGTATCCATGTTTGCTGAAGAAACTCTGTTGATGTGGGCGTGCCAGTGCAAGTTAAGCATTAGCCCTTGATAACTCTCGGAATAATGGACCAGATGAAAGGGTTTTTTTAATCCTTCTTTATGAACAAAATGTGAATATACTGCAGGCTTGTGAATAATAGAATTGTGTTCATTTGTGTAGCTGGCAAAGAAATACAGTATGGTTGTGATATCTCCAATCCTGGAGCGAGATGAAACACACGGGGGAACTCTCTGGAATACTGCAGTGGTCATTTCTAGTTCTGGAGCTGTCCTTGGCAAAAGTAGAAAAAATCACATTCCAAGGATTGGAGATTTCAATGAGGTAAGATGTGATTCTCAAGCTAGTCTTACCTTGTAGCTTTTGTTCAGGTCAGCATATGTTCTGTCAGAGTCAGGTTGGCAGCAAATGGAATGTATTTCTAGAAAATGTGGTTCAATAAGTGTTAAATTGGTTTTGGGGTTTTTCTGGTGAAATTATGGTAAGTCAATTTATCAGTATGTCTGTTAAAGGACAAATAACACTGAATCTTTGTTAGGTACTGTTTCTTGGCCTGATGGAAACTAAGGAAGTATCAAGAATCTTTAAAACAAAATTCCTAGTCACAACTTTGCTGTGTTAGTTGTGCATGATTGGCTTAGATAGTTTTTGCATGTGTGCATGTTGAATTTATTTTGCTTTGGAAGGCAGTTGTTTCATGGTTTGGGTGTAAGCATTCAGATCTTGATCTCTGTTTCTCTGTGAGGTTGTCTTGGAAATGACAGTTACTTTGCTTATGTTTCTTAGAGCAGAATCCCTTAATTCGTTATTCTTCTGACTGAATAGCTGGTTTATGGCCTCTTCTGTTTACTAATCACATTACTTCCACTGAAGTAATTTTTAGGCTGTCCTCCAGAATCGGCTTCAGAAGCTGAACTGGTAGTAAAGGCAATGTCAGAGGAAAACTGGTAGATCTGAAATGTGTTTATCCATCCATAGAACTATCACAAGAAGAAAGATGAGGTTTAAATATTAACCAAAGTCTAAAAATACATTGTCTTACCTGAGTCTCTCCTTGTCAGCTAAAGTGAGTTATTAACAGAGGCATTGCTTCTAAGCACTGGGGTTTGCAATATACCTGCAGTTGCTTTTGTTCCCTGTCTAAATGCCCCAGTCAAGATGACGCTTCAGAATCCAAACTGCATTTTTATTAATTTTTAAAAGTTTTTTGGTGTCTTGAAACTTCGTGTTCGAGACCACTGGCAGTTCTGACCTGGTCTCCCACATCTGATCAGACTGGTTTGTGTTTCTTCAGAGGAGGCTGTTAACAGGTTTCTGCAGAACAGATTACTGGCACAGGCCTGTCAGTCACCAGTGTTGACTCCTATGTTTAACAATAATTTTTGTTATTTAATATTATTTTATCAGCTCTGTCTTTTAGCTAGCAAAACAGTAACTAACAAACCCATATAAAATACAAGCCCTAATAAAAATGAATTTTGGTTACTTTCCACATTCTTGATTTGTTCCTTGTGTAATCAAACAAAAAAAATATATTCCTGTTTTCTTGCTAAAATATGATGTCCTAGTGTTCTGTGGAGCATCAACAGATTACAAGAAAATTCCTTGTTTCCAGGTATGAAACTGTAATGAAACACACCTAAAAAATATTCTTTTAGAATTTCATTTAAAGTTTTGCATGATTTGTAAAAGCAGTTAATTCTTATAATCGTAAATGCCAGAATTACCACAATATTATATCTGTATATCTTGCAGGTATACTATAATGATATGACATTTCTTGTTGTACCTATCTTATAGAAACAAGTAGTGTTTACCTAAAACAGCATTGGCTTTTTAGCTAGTTTTGTTAGCAAAGCATTAAGTCCACTCTTCTGAGCTGAGCAATTCTGATAAAGGAACTTTAGAAACCACGAAGGCTACAGGGAAGGATTATGCTCATCTCTGTTATTTTAATGTTGTTTTCTCTATCAACAAAGTTAATGCCCAAGGAAGTGTTGAATTTGAAATGACTTTTTTGTGGATCATCTCTGTAGAACAGGTAGGGAAAGGAGCCCTGTTAAAATTATCCTTGCTGAATCAGTGAGAATGAAATGAAAAGTGGAATGAGATGGGTCTGTGACCTGTTCAGCCATTTGTGGTATGGCATAGAAATAAACAAAAATCTGTCCTTCTTGAGACATCAGTTTGTTGTTGTGGAGATGAGCAACATCTTGTGACCTCTGGTGAGCAGCAAATGAGAACTGATGAATTCCCTGAAGCAGCAGCATTCTTGTTTTCCTTCTCCCATTGTAATAAAATAAAACTGAGAATAGAAGAAAAAAAGAAAGGAAATACAGTCAATTAGCAGAATTGTTTTGAAAAAGAATTGTGTGAGTGCCCACCATGTGCTGTCTACAGACATGAATGGAGGTAAAATCAGTGCCCAAGAGACTGCAATTTCACGAGACCTGATAATGAGTAAGAAACAGGAGATGTCACTTTCACTGGGCACGCTGACCCTCTAGTCCTTGATTTCAGAAGATGACCCGCTGTATCTGTCATGCCATTCCTGCACACTTACACGAAGCCCTAGATTGTTCTTCAGCTGTAGCTGCGCTTGCTCTAGGCCTGCTTCCTTCAAGACCAGTGCTGTGGTTGTTACAATAGACAGATAGTTTCAATAAAAATGGAATTGGTTACAAACACACCTCTCTAATGTGATAAGAGACGTGCCCCACTGGGTCAGCCTGATGTATTGTGTACCTTGCTTTTCTGTCTCTTGAGATCATCACAAAAAGGGACTACCAGGAATAAGTCTGGACACTGTGACTTCTGTACTCCCTCAGAATCCACAGTCATTGTTTTAGGGATTTTGGGTGACATGTTCCTGCCTGTTTCATTTCTTATCAGTGTCTTTGTCTAATCCCTTCTGAACCCGGTGATAATACCTGCTTTCACAAAGACGCACGTTTCAGAAGTACACTGCCTGTTGCAAGAAAAGAAAGTTACTGTGGTTGAAAATAGGTAAAAGACTGTTATTTTAGAGAATACACACTACTCATGCTGCTGCTCTGGGTTGCCTGTATTCATCTTGTCCATTGCCTTTGTAATTTTGTAAATCTTACTCATTATATCTCCATCAGCCTTCCATCTGCAGATTGAGGAGGCTTTTTAGTTGCTCCTCAGAAGAGAGCTGCCCCATCCCTTTCAGCTGCCTTTGCTTATTCCATCTCTAGTATATCGAGATGCAGACAGCAGGATTGCCTGGAGTACTCAAGCCATGGGCACACTAAACTTTTATAAACCAGCAAAACAATGTTTTATTATATTTTAGTACACCTGCTGCTTATGTCCCAAGTTTTCTTGGGTTTTTGGCTACCACTGAGCAGGCAACTGTCAGGGATGCCACATGTACCCTTTTCTTGTATCTGGGAATAACCATATCTGTACATTTCATTTACAATACCTCTGTGAATGTTTGTCTCTCCTGATAGCCGTTAACTGCCCTGTCCTTCTCTTCCCCAGTGCCTTTTATAGGAACCAGTGCATTCGTGACTCTTTAGAAATGTTTGATAAGATAAAAGTTCACAGCATATGGTAAATGGGATCTTTTAAGCCAACAGTTGGCTCCAGTTTCTTTGAGGAGTGTTCTGTAGTTTTATATTGTGATTTTCCTGGTGGTTATTTCAAGCCCTCTGTTCAAAGCAATAGCTATATAGAAGATTTAAATATCGAATCTTGGCTATACACTGGTATTTCCTTACAGCGTTCATAAACTTACTGCATGTCATTGCATAACAGGTGAATGTAAAGGAATGAATGTGTTCCTGAAGGAATGTGAGGGAATGAATGAACGTGTCCTTTAAACAGCGTTCATCATCTCTGTTTTTTACCAGAATCAAAGGATCATTATGTCTTCGGAAAATTTTCTCATGTGGTGAAAGTACTAAGAGAGGTGCTTACGGTTTGGTCATTTATGAATGTCTTTAAGCTTCTGTAGAAGGTTCTAGCATTAGTAGAAGCATGTATGTCAGAATCGAACAGCGCTTAGGTGTAGTTTGAAGGGAAATAGGCTTGAATTTGATCTCAGCAGCTGAAGAGAGCCACTTTTTGCTATACACCCATTACAGTGCAGCTGTGTACTAAGTGAAAGGTGTTATCTCTCATGGCTTAATTACTGGAACCTGATAATCAGAAATTGCAAGTGTCAAAGCAATGTTGGAGGTGGTAGTTTTCACTTTTTTAAGAGTCTGCCTTGTTTTTTTGTCTGTAGTCTACTTACTATATGGAAGGAAATACAGGACACCCAGTGTTTCAGACCCAATTTGGAACAGTTGCTGTGAATATCTGCTATGGGCGTCATCACCCTCTGAATTGGCTCATGTTTAGTATGAATGGAGCAGAGATCATCTTTAACCCTTCAGCCACTGTTGGACAGCTCAGGTAAAATACAAACTGATTTAGGCTGTTTCGCACTTTCTTGGTTAACTCAACCTCCAAGTCGCTTGCTGTGTCCTCACGGCCATCTTGCCTAAGGTCTTGGAACTGGAGGTGTAGCCTCTTTGTTTTGCCTTCATGAAGTAATCTACATTCTTCTCCATGTGGAATTTTGGGCTACCAGTCTGCTCACAGTCACTGATTCTCTTCCAAAACTTCAGTTATACATCTGCACGTCTTTTGTCTCTGAGAGTTAAGCAGCGTCCAGCTGCTGTTCTGAAAATTAATGAGAGTTTACTTACATTATTTATGTCATATTTTTACTTTACGACAGGCAGTAGTAATTTACATTCAGGCTTAGTTTGCCAGCTTGCATTGGCCACCTAGGAGCTGATAATTGCCAAGCTTTTCCCCAAAACTATTTTTTTTAATAACTGTTGGCAATCTTGTGATTATCAGACCTCTTGAACCAGACTGAACTAGTGTAAACTGTTTCCCTTGAGATTAATCATCTGCAGATTGACATTAATTGCACCCTACTGACTTGATTTCCTAAAAGCCAAAAGAAAACTAGCTCAATGAACTAAGAAAATACACTTCTTAGCTAGCCCATAATGATTAATTTGGGGATTAGATCTTGAATATTCTCTGCCTCTTATTAGCATCAGTCACATTTGAATGTGCCATGCTTCCAAAGCATTGCCTGACACAGGCTGTGCATTGCCTGGGATATAAGGTGATGAAAAATAACTGCGTTGCTTCAGGGCTGGCAGGAGAGCTTTCTTTAGGTACAAACCTGGTAGAAATGGGCTCAGCAGTTCTTTACACCACTGCTCTAGACAAAATCACCATGCCTTCCTTTCATTCTCATTGTATTCTGGCCTTTGCTATTCTACTCAATACTTTAAAATTAAAATTAGACTATTTATAAATTGAGATGTGAGATTCCAGAATGTGTCTGCACATCAGCTTAGCGCATGATGGAGCAGCTGTGCATTTTCTTGTTGTTTTGGTTAGGGGTTATGGGGGGATTTTTTTTGTTCTTTTCCCTGGTAGAGTAGGCTCTGAAAAGTAATTTAGTCGTGTGTGGTGTTTACATATATACAGCTGAGGAAGTGATGGTAATTTATGCTTAATTCTCAGTATTAATATTTTTAACCCTTTTCAGCATAAGTGGTTAGCTTTGTTATGGGGGAAGGAGAAGTCTGGCTTTGCGAGTTCCTTGGAACAAGATCATTTCCTTTGTGAGTTAAAAAAAAACATATTTTAGGCCAGCTGAACTGTTTTTTAGTTTCCAGCTCCAAAGATAAGTTTTAGGAAGCTAACAGGAGCATATTTCATTGTTACTGATGATATTGTAATACAAAGTATAATATCCAGTAGGAAAAAAAAAACAACAAAACAGCCCCCACATCTTTTACAATGGTAAAAATTCTTTCTCATTTCTCTCTCCCTTCAGCTAAGCTTGTGTGCTTGGCCTAATTACAGAATAGTTTCATTTTTATTTCTTTAAACCTAGATGAATAGACTTCTTTGGTGTCAGCTGTGTAAACCTTAATGTTTGAAATGTTCAGGCAATACAGACTTGCTCACTGGGTATGCAAGACAGTAGCAGAGTTAGAAATGTGACAGGAATATCTTCTTTTTATTCCATTTTCTGTTTCTTCAAGCTTCCCACAATCCTTTTGCTTTTCATGTTTAATGCAAATTTGGAGTTTTCATGGTCATAGAATATGAATCCATTTTTTATTTTGCTGACCAGTTAGAAAGTTCTGAGGATGATGAGCATTCATAATAGGGTAGAAATGGTGAAAAATATATTAGAGGCATAAAATTTTCATACCTGCAGCTAGTTCTGATGCGGAGAACCATGTGTTTAGAAACCTGGAGGGTGGAACTGCAGGTTAGATTCTGTCATTCAAACTGCCTTTATATTTTGTGGTATAGAAGATATTTTATGTGTTTATATTAATGTTGGGAAATGTCATTTGAAAAGAGTTGAATACACAATGCTTTTGAGTCATTTATGTTAGTACTGGAATATTTGTGATGTTTGTCCACTTGTAGCCCATTAACAGGAAAGCAAACAGAAATTACCTTGTTGTCACACAGCACTTCATCAGTGTTTCAGGTTCTCCAAATTAGTAGCTTTCACTCGATTGTTTTTAAGCACAGAATTTTTACTGCAGAAAGAGTATTTGATGTAAAAACTGTCTCTGGGGTTGCTTCTTGGCTATAGGTTTTTTTTCTGTCTCTCTTCTGTGAAATTGTAATGTTCTGGAGCTTTTCAGTAAAATCCCTTTTTCTTAGAAGAGCTGGCTGCCAGACTCAAAGCAATTGAGAGAAGAGGCAATAAACCAAGTCCTTGCAATCAGTCCAGTTCTTGAGTCTGACTGGGAGATTAATGAGTCAGATGCTTGCAACCTTGTCTTGGTATTCAGAATCTGGCAGGTACAAGCTGTCACAGGAGTGTACAAATTATATCACCTTTGTTTTGGAGCTCTGAGTGCTTCCAGGCATCCTATTAACCAGTCATCCCTGTGTATCAAACTAACAAAAAGAAGATTTCTTTCATTTTTAAACATTAATCAGAATTGAAATCTCCTTTGGAAGAGAGACTTTTTTTCCTTCCTTTGATTTTTTTTTTCTTTTTTTTAATTATTCCTCCCTCTTTTTTTTTTTTTTTTGCCCCTATTCATTGCTACAAAAGCCTCTCCTCAACTGTCTGGGGAAAAAAAGGATGCAACTTCTATGAATCTTGCAGCTTTGCCGCAGAATTATGTTTGGTGTATTGAAAGGTAATGGAATATGAAAGCAGATGTGTAAATCCTTTGCATAATTCAGAATGTAAAACATTTTACACTTTTAATTGCTTTGAAAGTCTTGAGCTGTGTTAAATTTCATTTTTTTTTCACATGACAAAGCCATATGTACCAGATTACCAGGTAGAATTTCTTAAACTTGTATTTGAGCAGAAAATAATTGTGATTGTAAGACCAAGATCAGTCTTCGTAGGTAACTCTGACCTTTTTTGTCAGAAAATGTAGTGTGAGACTGTCACAACCTGAATTCAGCACTGCAGTAGCGAGTAGTGAATACCTGCCTGCTCTTTTGTGTTTTGCAGCGAGTCAATGTGGCCAGTCGAAGCAAGAAATGCTGCTATAGCTAATCACTGTTTTACGTGTGCCATCAACAGGGTAGGAACGGTGTGTATCTTCGCTTTGTTATTTAATTTCATAATTTAAGTATTGTAGCATGAGTTCATTCAACGTAATAAACTGAATAGCACTGGAATGCATAGATTCCTCTACTGTATAACTACTGTATTACTGTTTATAATATAATTTGAAGGTGGACAATGATAAAGAGATTGAGAGCTGCCTTATTGCTGGCAGCTTACTTTTTGGTTGCAGCTGCTTCCTGTTCTTGAATTGCTCTCTGTAATCGGCACCCTCCCTTTTGCTAATTTTCCTGGTTTCTGTGTTAAAGTAAGTATTCTTTTAGCCAAAATGACTGAAGATTAAATACATCCTCCAGTCAGTGGTACACAACTGTTTGCTGTTGTACCTCTTTCTGCACACTGAAATTCTATGTTAAAAATTCATATTGCACATAAGAGGTCATTCTTGCCTTCACATTAGTCCAGATACCCTCAATATGTGTTCTTTTATGAGGTTCTGTCAAAAATCCAGACTTGTTCTTGCCATTATGTGAATACATTTGCCTTCTTTTGTGATCCGCAAAGATGCGTTTGGTTAAATGTCTTCTCTTTTGCCCCTAAAGATAGACTTGTGAAACTGATAGGAAGCATGTTCCCCAAAGTGTATGAAAGACAGGCAGTGACACAAAAAGATCTTGCTTTCTACCTTGTCCATCTTAGAGATTAGGCCCCTCTGATGACTCCCTTTAGACAGTGCTGATAGTATGCCAGAAAAAAATCTTACTAGATTTATATAAACTTCCATATTAAATATGATAGACTAGCAAGGATTTCTTGCGTGAAATGGAATTATACTGCCACCTACGGATTCTTCTTATTTCACAGGAATACTACAGAAATTCCTTTACTTCTGGAGATGGTGGAAAAGGTATGTTCAGAAATCACATGCAGCAGTTGCTAGTAATTGTTAACTAGAAACAGTAGCTCTCCCATAGGTGCCTATCCCATGACAGCTATGGTAGCCAGCAACTGTCATACTTAAGACTGCTGTTTTATAAGCTGGAGAGAAGAAGCACTTCTTACTAAAGGCACCATGGTGTGTGGTCACCAGGAGCTGACACCTAAGGTTTCTGTATATTTTCAGAGGATGAAGCATTTTGGAGTCAATGTGGTGTTGCAGGACTGGAAGACAGAAATCCCACAAATCAGCCTGTGTTGTCACTGCATGCATGACTTCTTATTTGTAGTTGTAAGATTATTAACAGTAATAGTCCTAGACTAAATCCCCAGCCAGCCAGTTTTGCCCTGTTCCACAGATTTGCTGAAAGTTAAAGAGGATGCTCAAAGAACATGAGATTTGCTTGTATCTGCTTCACTTGTATGTTTAAATACTGTAATTTGTCCTGTGGCAGCAATGACTGCTTCTGGCTTTATCTGGAGTGGGCCTGAGCCTCTTTTTACCTAGTTCTGGAGCAGCTGTGTGAGAAAGGTCTGTGGTACCCATTGCTTAGTGGTACAACAGATGCGGCTAAGTTTTGGCACAACTGAGAGCTGTGCAATATGAAGATATTTCCTGTGCTTCAAATCCCAGTGGTTTCACCTCTGACTTTTGTATTGACAATGGAATGGGTGGATCTTTCTCAGCTGTTTTGGAAATGTATGAGTTGACAATAAGAATTCATTTAAATTCTAAATAAAAAACAGTGAAAGCAAAGCCTTTAGTTCAGAGACTTAGTAGTGGTAAGGCATAATCATACACTATTTAGAAGGCAGTGCGGGGAGTTTTCTCCTGTTAATTCAATGTATGTGAAAGCTGTACTCTGCATGAAAGTAACTGCTGGTCAAAAACACAGTTACCTTAGGATTGTGCTGTGACTCTTCAGGATGATGCCTTGTTCAAAGCAAGTTAGTGAGCAACAACAAGAAGTAGAGCCAGGTTTTATAGGACACTGCATGTTAAGTTGTATACTTACTTGCAGGTGGCATTACATGCTTTTTAAAAATCTTTCAGCACACCATGACTTGGGCTACTTTTATGGCTCAAGTTACGTAGCTGCACCAGATGGCAGCAGGACACCAGGACTCTCTCGTGTTCGGGACGGACTTCTGGTGGTGGAGATGGATCTGAATCTTTGCAGGCAAGTCAGTGACAAATGGAATTTTAAGGTAAGCCTACTTATAAAGAAACAAACATATGATACTAGAACAAACAAGCTTTCATAATGATTTTATGATCTTGCAGTAGTTTAAAGACAGCCCTTTTTGTTGTTTTTCAACAGTCCAGGGCTCAAATTGTTGAACTAATTTAACAGGATGTTCTCGAGGCCAAAGTCACAAATGGATTCCTAAAAGGAGTAGCCAAATTCAGGGAAACGAGGCCAGTAGCTTTTAAATGAAAAGGTTAGCCTTGGTCCTTGCGGTAGAGTGCCAGGAGCTCCAAGTACTGCTAGGGAAGTGCATGTGGTTTCCTTAGGCAAGGTATGTGGGCATTTGCACTGAGCTGAGATGGGCCTTTGATCTGACCTAATATGGTGGATCTTTATGTTCCTATAGGCCTTATTTGTCAGTTTAAATGAAAATCAGTGAAAACCCAAACCCACAACAATCTGTATGCTTCTGAGAGCTTTCTGAATGGAAACTTCTTGCACTGTTAACTCTCTGAATTTTATGGACATGTTGAAGCCGCAGAGAACTGTGTACATTCATCTCTACAGCATCCTAACACACTTTGAATTTACCTGCAGCAAGTTAAGATGGCTGCAAGCTTTTCCACGTGGCTTTAACAAACTTATTTATTACTATTCTTTTAATATTCTGAGGTAAAGCTCATTTGGATCAGCTTTCCTGAGGGTGCAATTTGATTTAATTTGTCCAGCAGTGCTGCTGGTTTAAGAAACTGACACCTCAGCACTGTAATTTGCTAACCCTTCAGTAGTGCCAGTACAAGCTATGCGGGGTGTCACCCTGGATACTGGTTTAGTGGCGTGATGGGACTTTATTTATTTCTTTTAACACACATTTATTTTACAGATGTGTGTAGTGGGTAGATGGTTGTTGTAGTAGTGGAATTAAATTGTGCTGAGAGATTCCCACTGTTGTTTAACTCAGGTCTTTAGTTTTGCTTGCCATGGAAATCTGAAGCCCTGATAGCAGAGTAGAGATTTAGTGTGTCAGGAAGCACATGGAGCATTGCTTACCACAGTGTCATAGGGGTATCTGAACAAAAGCAGTTGTATTGATTAGGAAAAACAAACAGTAAAAAAAAACAACCACTGACCTTTGGCTGTATTGTACAGAATTGATTATTTTTTGTTGTGTTCAAGACTTGTGTTTTTAGCACCTTAGCTTTATGTTGATGGTGTGGATTGCTGTTGTTGGTCTTTTGGCACATAAGGCACAGCTGTAGCTTTTGTTCATGTGACAGGGGATATCTGTTTCCTTTTCCTCCTGTTTGTGGCCAAGACAGAGGTAGTTCTTGATACGAGGGGAATGAGGAAGTATGAAGCCACCAGTTATCCATTGCATAAACCCCTTGATAGCAAGCAGGAACCTATTTAACCTACTCTAGTATCTGCAGTTTGCATTCAATGATGCCTGAAAGGGATTTAAGTAGAATGTCTTTTCTAAACTTACAGCAGGAAAATAGTTAAACAAGTAGCCATCATTACACTCTGGCAAGAAAGAAGTAATTCAGCCCTCCCACAGCCAGTGTTGTAGACTGTACACTTCGGAAGACGGTGATAGCACTACATAAAGTGCTGTATTCCAGCCTCCTAACTTACTGTATCACCCAAAGCAATGATAATGTTTTGTATTATTAATGACTAAAGTAAGAGCAACCCAAATACCATCAGTGGCACATTGCTGCCAACAGTAAGTTTGCATGAGTTCATCAGTTGTCAAGGACATGATATGACAGGATAATTACAGATACACTCCTTTGCCTTCACTGACATAATTTACTTAAAAGAGAGTACTGTTGATGCTAAGAAAGTCAGTCCACCTTTCACATTCAACTTTCATCTATCCAGGATAACCAAAATAGCCTTAAGTAATTAGTCAGCAGACATGACTGTCAATGAAGGAGAGCTGCAAAACAGGAAGGTGTTCAATTTGGAGTTGTACTTTTCAGAGTAGAAATGTACTTTTTTGGGGGGGTACAAGTATAGTTTTAGGCAACACAATGTGAGTTCTTTTAGAAAAGTAGGTTAGTTTGTGCTAAGACACTGGAGGTCTTGCATTTTGAGTGAATTATTTTACATTTGGGGAAAAATAAATAGTATGTCATCATTTAAAAAAAGGGTGAATGTAAATATTTTCTGCTGAAGTACTTCCACAGCTCACCAAATGAACTGAAGCTTTGTTTTTTCTTTTCCAGATGACCGGTAGATATGAAATGTATGCAGACAAGCTCACTGAAGCAGTCCAGCCTTGTTTTATACCCAATATAATCAAAGAGAGAGCATCTCATTAATGTCAAATAAAAAGGTACCATGGGATGATAGCCTTACTGTGGATCACAAGCTGTTATTTTCATGTTGTAATTTTAATTTCCTGTAAATAACTTTCAAGTAGTAGAACTCAAACCTTTGTTAAGTAAAATGATTGCAAAATAGCTTCTTTGGTTCTGGTTTGCGGTTTTGGTTTTGGTTTGTTGGTTTTTTTTTTCATTTACACTGATGAGTCCAAACTTTTCGTTTGTTATGAGAAATATATCCAGTAGGATTACGTTGCTATAAAGTGATGATGAAATGTATTCAGTATTGTTTATTGTGATATAGTTTGATGGAAATGATGCATTCAGAGGAGATCAGAATTTTCACATAGGCTTTGCATCGTGTGTCTATTCACTTCTGCTTTCCAGTTCTTTACCCTCTACCCAAAAGCACAATTTAGGGAGAAAGAAGGCATCAATTATTTTAATCTGTCTTTTAATTACAAACTATTTAATAAAGTTCTGTTAGACTTAAGTAATGTCCCAAACATGTCCAAGTTGTTTGAAGATCTCTGGGTACTGCAAAGCAAGATCACTTTGGTTCTATTTCCCTTTATACTATGAATTACAAGCACAGTTGGACCAATGTCTTTGATGGGCTCCTTCAAGGTGCAGAAGTAGTGCTGCAGACAGAAGCTTTTAGTATCTTCAGAAGCTCAGTGCTATGAGGCCAAAATAGAAACTCTGGCTGAAGCATAGGCCAGGCCAGTGCCATGCATTGTGAACAGAAAGCCATGGAGATGCTATCAGGGATAAGGATGGGTAATGAAGACTGTTTCCCTGGAGCTGCACTCCAGTAGGGTACTCAGTGGTTGTGGAGTACACAAAGCAGCTGTTGAATATAGATAGCAACAATCCATTTGCTGTTCTCAGCTCCTAGTGTATCTTGAAATTTGCTTTAGTGTGATTCAGGTGATACAGTGGGTGTTCAGAAAGTGCAGAATTTACAGCCTAGCAACTCTGAATTCATAGCTGAAATAAGTATTTGAACTTTTAGGGTTTTTTCCCAAATCACAATTTCAGCTCTGCCACTTCCAGTTAAATATGTAACACATGCTCTAAAGATTTTCCAACATGTTTCATAATAAGTTAGTTAATAAATGCACTTGCCACATTATGTTACAGGGTTATCTGTGACTTTAATCCTTTATTGAGAATGGCTTAATTACAAATAAAAATATATTTATGTATAAAATCCCTGCATGTAAAATACCCCTTACTTTGCTATTGACATCATGAAGGAAACAAAGTGACATTTTCAGAATGAGTATTTTCATAGACAGTCTTGTAATGGGAAACAAAGTTTCAGAAAATGCAGATGTGCAGTGAACTGCTTTTAAATCTGAATTTGTGTCATATAAATACTCAGCCTCTTCACTTGGCTTTTGCTTCTTATGTTTTCATCCTTCATAGCTACCCTGCTTTTGGCAGCTATGAGATCCTGTTGCAGCAGTGGAGCTCTCCGTCTGTATTAGCTTAAACAGCTTTGTTTATCTTTCAGTTTTGTTGAAGTATTTAAACTCTGGGTACCAAATATTGAAGAGTCAATATTGTTACACCTATCTGTGCACTTCAGAACACTTAGCGTGCTCTCAAGTTCATGTTTTATGCATAAGCTCACGATTCATATTTGGTAACCAAACCAGTAAGAGGCTAAATGTCAGTTACAAGCCCTTTGAAGAACTGTTTTTATTTAGCTAACCAAGCCTGCTCTGAAATAAATCTGGGGCAGTTCACTGGTAGTGAATGAACTACCTACCTGAAACCACAGGGGTTAACAAAGTACTCTACTGTCCTGTAGTACACATACCTGTTAATTAGTAACATAGCTAATACAATCTCTCCAAATCAAACATCCTGAATTTGGACTTGGGGCATAAAAATTCCCACATCAGTAGCGTTCTGGTGACTGACTTCTGATCAGAAGGCCTTATCCATAACAGGTTAGTACTTTTTTTCTGTGATTCTGCTGGGTGCCACTAATGTGCTGGTTCTACTACTCATAAATTGCATCCTAATTTTTACTCATTTTGCAGTGTATTCCAGCTTCACCAATTATAAGCAAAATATGAGACACTGAAAATTTCTTGTCAGATACTTTTTGTTCAGGACTTCTTAAAAGCTATTGCATGTAAATATCTGTTAGCATCTGTTTGTGCAAAGGAGGACTTTTAATTCTACTAATATTACTTATTGAATGCTTTCCAGCTATTTATTCAGTACGTCAAAAACTGATGATAGAAGAAAACTTTTCTCTTTAGCAAAAGATTTTACAATGCTTAAAGTAGATTCCTATTATCTCCACCACTAAGTAACAATGTCTTTCTACCGTTATTACACAGTTCTAGAAATTGAACAGTTCCTTTTCCTAACACCATGGCAGAGGTGCAGGATGTCTGTCTTAAGTGCAAAAGAAAATTGTGCTAGCTTTACATCAGTATTGATTTTTCTACTCGCTTCAACCCAGACAGGACTGGAGATCAGGACTTGTAGGAAATTGTGATGGATGAAATCTGAAGTAAGTGGCTATTCCTTACACTTTAGAGCGCTCCTCAGCAAAGTGATTAAACGCATGTAAACCATTAAAGAATTAAGAATGGGCCGCTAACAGTTTCACTTGATGTCTGAATACAGTAACTCCAATTTAAGCCCAATATTTACACTGTAGCATAAGAGCTAGAAAATGAGTTCCTGCCTTTTTACTTGTATTCCCCCTTCTTAATTGGTTTCAGCTCTTCTTAGAAGGTCTCTGAACTAATGCCAATGGCAAAATTTGGCTCAAATAATGATTCAGCATTTTAGTTATAATCCAGTATACACTGTCAGATATTTACATTTACACACAAAATGCATGCCATTAGTGTAGATGCTCATTTTCTGCACTGGCTGAAGTTTAAAGTTTATATTTGGAATGGCTCCTACAGAAACTGGCACATGGGGGTGGCATAATGCTCAGAGGTTTTGGCAAAAAGCAAGACTTGTAAGTACAAATAAAATATCTTCACTTCTAGGGCAACACGGAGCTCTGAGCAATCATCCTAGAGGATTTAGCCAAAAGAGATTAAGTCTGTGGGACAAGGGAACAACACTAATAACTACGATTCAAAACAGAATGCAGTGGCATAAATGCTGTATTTGTGTAAGGTGAATTTGGGTAAATGCGTTTCATTCCTACAACACAGACCTGATGAGCCAGCTAGGCTTTTTTTGTAATTTAACAGTGGTTTTAAATTAATATTTTTTCCTTCCATAACACCCTGCTGAGCCTCAAATCCCTAGATTTTGGATGAAGATCAGCCCTTGATGCTTTGACAGAGAAACAGGTATTCTCTTTTTTCCCCTCCTGTTTCTGTTTAGCTAAACCTGTGCATGTAGTACCAAGTGTTAAAGTTCATAAATCTGGTGCTTTTTTTCTCATGTGTTTAATTTGAAAATAAGCTCAGAGCAAATTAGGCTCTGGGGCCGTATTTTAAAACTGCTGTCAAATGTGCAATGTTGAGAAAAAAAAAACAACCAACAACAAACAAAAACCAACCAAACACCAAAACCAGACATACAATGCAAAATTAGATACATCATGAGGAAAAAAAGGTAAAGACAGCATTGTAATATAGTCCTATCAATGTCTATAAAGCCTCCCTTGTTTAAGATCCCACTGCAGTTCAGGAGCAAGGTCTCTGCAGGGGCAGTCCTGAGATAAGCAGCCAGCTGCCATGCAGGCTGCACAGGAAAGGGCCAGGAGCATCAGGTGTGGATGTCAGCTGTCTGTGTAGATGAACAGAATGTCTTCATCAGTGCCATAACTTGTCCTGGCTTCCTCAAAGTTACTGATGCTGGTGCAGCACGTTCCTGTTCAGGAGGAACAAAACGTTACTAAGAATTCAGAATTTGCCTGTGAAAGGCTCTTATACTGGGGTTAGCAGCCTCTACAAAGAAAAATAACTAGCATACAGACTAAACCTATCAGCTTAGGTTACAGCTTTACTCATTGGTTTCATTTTGACGCACCATGAAGCAAGCTTTACATGTAAATGTAGAACTAGGGGCCTGCTTCAGTGGTGGCCTTGGAAATGCCAGATTAACGGTTGGGTTTGGTGATCTGAAAGTTCTGTTCCAAACTCAACAATTCTTGATTCTGTGATCTTTTCAGCTCAAAGCCAGTGCTCATGGAAGTAATGCTGTAAATAGGTATTAAATTGCCCATTCTGTTATGTTCTGCACATAGGAACAGTTCAGCATCTCTCACAAACCCAGCTGAGAGCCAAACACATTTGCTAGAATGAGTATATCAATTCCTCAAGTAAATCACAGCACAAATACAGCACTGATATAATTAATGTGGCAAAACCCCTTCTGACAAATTGGTTAGCAATGCTTGAGCATAGGCACACTGTTAGAGGAGGTCCAGCAGGTCCAGCTGTAGCTCTGTATTACAGACATGTCACTAAAATGATGGCTGATAATCCACCCAAAAGGAACAGGCTACTCACGGTCAGCATAGGCAGGGTTGTTGTAGTAAATACTCCCTGAGGCTTTGTTGTAGCCACATAGCACAATGAAATGGCCCTGGTAGTCAGGATTCCTGCAGAAGCACTTCTGTCCAATGGGGAGGAAGCAGCAGTATTTGACAGGACTTGAGCAAAGGTCACATAACAGCAGGACGGCGTTCACTAGGACAATGGCTACGTGACCTTGAGACAGGTGGTTCTGAATGTCTTGAACAGTTACTGTGCTGCAGAAAAAAGATCAGGCATGCTTAAGTTCAGGGAAGAGACTGGTACACAATGAAGTGTGTGGTGATGGACAGTACTTAAGACATGCAGCTGGCGTGTTTTGTCACAGGTACAGCTTTTTGCTGTTAAACCCATCCAGCTTTGCTACAAAGCCTGACAAAACCTGTGTCATTCAAGGCCCATTGATCTCACTGTTGCTGCTGAAGTGCAGAGCAAGAGCTCTGGGTTCTGCAGTAACATCAATGGTATCTCTGAATGTATCAGATGCCCCAGAGAAAAGTTTTAAAGTAGCTGGCAACTCAGTTGGTAACCTGAGAGACTTCTGATGTGGGAAAATCATAAAGCAAATGTTCTCTCCTGCTCCTAGAAAAGCTTATCTCTTAAGTACCAAATCTTTATTGGCTGAGTGGTTAAAGATTGTACAATCACTAACCAAATTAAGACGTGCCCAAATCTGCCTCTGTCACACAGGAATACACTTCTCCCAGTAGCAGTTTTGGACTACCTGATGCTCTTGAGGCTTTATTACTATAGTACCTCCCACAGAAAATGAGTATTATCCAAATATAACTTCATCTGTTAAAAGCTGTCCCTCACTGGGGCACGTGCAGTCCATATGCATTAGAAGCTCATTCTTTGGATACATTCTAGATGTCCAGGCTGTGTGCACTACCTAACTGAACTCATGCTTTTTAATCTTTTCCAGTGTCACTTTTTGACACCCGAGCCTCAGTACTGTGTCTACACAGGCAGACGTGCTCTCTGTCCTTGCCTTGATCCAGGCCATGATCTTAAGATGGCTAACGCAGAATGGACTGACTGAACCTTCTGCCCTGTCACAACTCAAGTTAAATAGATGGTGCCAAAAAGACTGTGTGTGTGTTAAAAAGGACACTGAAAACTCTGCTCAGTGCAAGTTGCATTACAGCATTCAAAAGCTGTTGTGGCTGCCCTGCACTCTCTCTTCTTTTCCTGATCATTTACCCTTCTTTGACAAGAGATCCAAATCCAGCTTCACTATAAAAAGGGATGCAACTCAAATGTTCACATGGACACATTGTAATTTCCCATGCAGAACGTCACTGTCAGCTGTGAAACAATTCTGCGGTTTTAGCTCCTCCCCTGGGTTTGCAGTTCCTTCATAGAGGTTCCTTATTTCACCCTCCTCTTGGCAAAAGCTTGTTTGCAAGCTTTTTCTTTGTGTGTTTGTCTAGGAAGAGAGAGCTGTAATGTCTGCATAGCTCTGGGAACAATGGGTTGTGTGCCCATGTAGCACTCACCTTACTTCTAGCAATGGCCATTTAGAGTGCTGCAGGCACCCCAGTAGGGTAATTTTAATGGATAATCCGCTTCAAAACATAAACAATAGCCAAGTTGTCGTGGAACTGTAAAAATCCAGTCAGGATTTTCAAATAGTAATTCTGTGTCAGCTCTTTTTCTTCAAACTTCAGTATTAACTCTTGATGTCCACATTATTTTTTTTGAGATGGATTTATTAGAAAGACTGTAATTCACCCCCCCAAAAAAAGGCTCAGGGCTTGATTTCAGTCTCTTTAGTTTGACTCCAAGTAAAAGATAGGGCCCACAGACTCTCCAAAGAGAAAGGAAAGAAAACAACAGGCTTACCACTTCTCCACCAGCACCTTGCAGGCTTTGGCTTGTGCAAAGAGCTGATTCACTCGATTCTCTTCTGTGTCAAAGTGCTTCCTGTAAAATGACTGTGGAGATAATAAAAGTTATGAACTGGAATGATGTTTCCCTTAGGTAATCCACCACTTAAATCCCTGCTAGCAAGGGCCTGCATAAACTGGGGATCTGGCTATGGAATAAGAGATCTCTCCCTTAGTTAACCGGTAAGAGGAAAAGGATTCCTGCTCTAATTTGTTTAAATTCACTCCTGGTCAGTTATTGTAATTTCATCCAGTGGCTGTTCAGCTGCCTACATGAAAGAAGCCTGCCTGGTTCATACTGGGCAGGAGCTTGCATTAGAAAAGCCATTGCTACTATGGGCCCTCACTGGCCCACTTGCTGGCAGTCTTGAAGAGGCTGAGTTCCCCTCTCACCTCTAGAGGTGGTTCTTCCAGGTCAGGGCTGAGGCACGGTGGTGGGGAAGGGGTGGAAGCTAGCACTGCTGCTGCCCAGGCTGTACCTGTTCTGTAGATAGACAAAGGGCTTCAGTCTCCAGGCTGTCAAGTAAGTGGAACCTTTCATGAGCACTACATGAAAACTTTTCCAAAATTCATGTTATGGAATTAAAGATGTGAAGTATGCGGGTTTGTATCCAGCATCGCCTTTGGAACTGATGTGGCAACAGGCAAACCTTGTTTACAGGGATTGTGGTTGATTGTCAGTAACACAGCAGAGCTTTTACAATGTGACACACAGGGCTTTTAAAGTTCTGCTGTCTCCCAGTACATGAGACTACTAACCTGATTTTTGTAGCCCTTGTCCACTCCAAGTGTCTGGGTGCAAAACTTATGCTTGACACCAAAGTGCCGCATTAGGTAGGCCAGGTCAATAGTCCAGATACTCTTTGTTAACTGGAGTTCCTGGATGGCTTTCTGAAATTCATCATTGTCCCAGTGATTCAGATACCTGTGATATTAGGAAAGGCAGGGAAGGGAAGCACAGATCTTAGGAGAAGCAAAATGTGCCCTGTAGCCCAAGCTTCCACATCACAGGACGTGAAAACTGAAACAATGGGCTTGGCTAAGAAATACCAAAAAGAAAACAACCCACAAAGGAGCCACAGATTTAAGGGAAGGGAAGGGTGTAGGGAATATTTAACTGGATTTATTGCTGACTTTTTAAAATTGGAAATGTATGTGTATCTTGACTGATTTATAATGACAGAAGTGTACAGGTGCTGTACAATAGGCAAGCTATTCTGAGCAAGCATAGAACTCTGTCCTGAAGGGCTTACAGTCTAAATGTACAAGCATATTAGAGCAAACACAGAAGTGTTAAAGACTAAAACTTGCTTCACGCAATAGATGGATTTCAAAAGGAGGAACTGTAAAGGAAGTCAGTAAATATTCAAAGGAAGCTTTGTCTTAGGCACTGATGGAACAAAAGGCAACAAAGGGTAGATGAAGTCAGGAGAAAGGTTGGGACAGGCTGCAAAGGGGTAGGGAAAGGCAGTTACAGAGAGTTCTAGAAGTCAGAAAACAAATGGAAGTAAATGGAAAAAAAAAAAAAGGGACTGGAATTGAGGATACAGGGTAAACGAGGCCATATCAGCAGGGTGAGAAGACTAATCTTGGAAGCTTGAGTTTTGGACAGACTGGAGTGGCAAAGAGGTAAAGGGAATAGAGGCAGAGGTTACAGTAGTCAAGATGGGAAATTACCAGCACACGGACTAACGTCTTGGCAGAAGGGATGGAGAGAAATGAAAATCTTCTGCTTCATATCTACTAAGTGGACATCTAAATAGGTATTTCTCCTGCACCTAAGCTCATGTTCCTCTGTGGAAGGAAAGAGGAGTTCAGCAGGACAGCTACCAGTTCAAAAAAAGAAAACCAAAACAAAACCAAAAACCACCCCAAAGGGCAATACAGTGCATTGTTTTGAGTTAATCTACTGGAACAAAAACATTCACCCACAGACTGGGGGCTCAGCAGGACAGAGAAAGTATGTACTCGTAAACTGGGCTATGCCTACCCATCATTTGGGAATAACAGAAAGGAGGCAGGTGAATTGCTATGCTACTCATCTGGTCTGAATTCTAACAGCAGGAAAGAGGAATAACTTTTTATCAGCTTATGCATGCTGACCTGTACAGTTCTTACAGGTATTTTGCATCTTTCAGAACTGGCAGTTATTCAAAAGGGTCTGAAGTTAAGCTTAGTTTAAATTTTCCCTTGCTCCTGCTGGAAAGCTGTGCCAGGCCCAGCAGCAGTAATTCTCTGAGGGTACCTGAGAGTATGTATGTACTCTTGTAAGACTAAATTCAACTCACAGCTGCTTCAACACACCTCCCTAGACATTGCTTCCCACTACCCCCATCCGATGGGATGGCACTTCCCACCCATTCAAGCCAAGAGAGTCACTTACTGCAGCACCATCCTGGAACAGGCCAGCCCACAATCCCAGTGGTAGAGCTGCTGAATGACTGGCACTTTCAGCTGGATGCAGTCAACTGCAGTGAAAACACCCCAGCGTGAGTAAAACACAGAAAATGTCAGTGCAGACAAGAATGGGGTTTCCATACCTTGGCATTCAAACACAGCTTGTCCTCAGCACTATGGTTGTGGAAACTTGGGGTTTTTTACTTTATGTGATTGGCAGTAAGTAAAGTATGTTTTTACTTTATGTGATTGGCAGATATTTGTGTCTTTCTGAGAGGAATGTAGGTTTGGTACTTATGTACAGTTAAGTGTTTGGTTTAATCTTGTACTCCTTTATTGTTCCATGCCTGGATTGCTCTGCTGTATGATACACCCCCTTCTCCTTTGGAAGTTTCATGTTATTCCTGGTGGGGTGATATCCCACCAGCCCACAGTATGAAGCTGTATCCCCTCCTAAATAATAGTAGGTAAGGCACAGGTATTAATCCTTTCTCTTCTGTCTGAATCTATTTCTGTGCCACAAAAGGAGTTAAACCAAACTGTGAGAAAACAGACATAACCAAGATCTCCAGGTACTGATTTCCCACCAGCTCTGCAGATTTGAGCCTTTTCTGCAGCTTTTTCCTCAGGGACTGCAATTTGCTTTGAGTGATTCCAGGTTAACAAAGCTCACAAATGGCACCAGTTGCCTTTTGTATTAACTCCCTCAACAAAGGGAGAGGGGAGGAAGAACAATCTCTACCAAAAAGTCCCAGAATACCATAACTCCATCCCTCTGCCGCAGTTATTTTTATAGGGTTGGCAGCGTGGTGGCTTCCATTGCAGAAATACCCTTGCACTCGACAGGCTTGAAGAGCTCTGCCTATTAGTGCTGCTTCAGCATCAATCCAAGCGAGTTACTCATAAAGGGTTTTTCTCACCTTTGATCTAGAGAAGACCTTTGGAAAGTTTTGGTAACACAAGGCCAGCTACATTTTAAGATAGGAATAAAACCACATTTGACATCATGTGGACTGCTCTAGTTTTGATGCAATTTTATAACTAAAATGTTTTAGGTAATGTTGCTTGTAATCTTTTGTTACTTTTAACAAAGCTACCGACCTACAGTAGGGACAAGCCAATTCCAGCCTCTTTCCAAATATGTTTTCATGGTTGTGCCAGTGTTTAATGTTGACTTTGAAGTCTGGCACACCATTGGTACATTCAGTTGTTTTGATTAATCTAGTTAAGTATCCCAAAGAAAAAATGAAAACCCAGTTCCCAGATTCTCCTCAAACCAGGATCTCTTGAGTATTTTGTTGTTATTTTTTCTTGGCGTGTGTCATGGTTTAACCCCAGATGGCAACCGAGTACCACGCATGATTCTGTCCCCTTTCTGTAATTACCCAAGATTTCTGTTATTACTGTCAAGTGCCAAGTTTCACTGAAGAGGTGCGTATTTTCTATCTGAAGAATTAAAAGGGTAATAACTTTTAACTTTCTTGTCTATTCAGCTTCCAGTCACCCTGTTTCCCAACACACCCAGGCTTCTTCAGTGATGCCCGTGGACTGTCCTAAGATAAGACAAGCCCGTGTGCGCTGTGGCCGTCAGTAACACCACCTCTCTGCTTCGCCAGCTCCTCGGCGCAGCGAACTTGGAGCGAACTTACCGGAGCCGGTAATTCTACATTGCTGCTGGCGAAACCCGCGGCTTCGCGGCTCCGGGAGGGGGGAGGCCGGCCAGGCCTCCGAAGGGACCACACCAGCCACTGATCCGCGGCGTGGGCCGGGCCGGGCCGAACCCAGGGCTGCCTTCCCGGCCCAAGTCGGCGCGCAGCCCATCCCGCCGCCCGGTTCCGGCCCCCAGTCCGCCGCCACGAGCCCCGCGGACGGCTCTGCCCGGCGCGCCACTGACCTGGCGGCGGCTCCCCGTCCTCCCGGGGGCTCTTCATGGTGGCGGCGGCGGCGGCGGCTCCTGCCACCCGCTCACTGCCGGCCCCGCCGAGCCGGCCCGCGCCACGGCGCGGCCCAAGGCCCCGGCATGCTTCGGTGCGGCGCTGGCTCCTCCCGGCCGCGGAGGCGGGGGCTGCGGGGGACCGGGCCCCGGGGCGTCTGCCCCGCGCCGTGGCGGCGGTGTTGGGGGTGGTCGTCGGGCGCGCGGGTGGGTATGAGCATGACACGGCGGGCGGGGGACGCGGGCGCGGCCTGAGGCGGGTGGGGGAACCCGGGGCGCGGCGACGGCCAGCCCTGCCCCGGGGCGGATCCCCGCCGCCGAGGGAGCTGCCCCCGCCCGGCTGGAACAGGCAGCACCGGAACGCGGTGTTCGGTCGGGTGGGAAGGGAAGGGAAGAGATGGGATGCGTCCGCCCCGCCACCTTCCGGTTCCGGCGCGCGGTGCACGGCGGGACGCTGGAGGAGCCATTAGGGGTGAGCGCGGGCCCGCACTGAGGTGGGTGCTGAGGGCAGGGGTTTGCGCGCACCCACCTGGGCCGTGTCGCTGCAGCCCCCTTGGGGCGCCCAGGCCTGAGGTGGGGAAGGCGCGGCGGGGTGGGGTGGGGTGGCCACCGGCCGGGGAGGGGGGCCTCTGCTCGGCTTCTTGCGGGGACGGAGCTCCCCCGGGCTGGGGCCCTTCTCTCCCCTGTGGTGGGGCTAGGGCTGGGGTCTGTGGGTGAAGGAGGCCCTGCCAGGGCTGGGGGGATGATGTGAGCTGGGCGTGGAGGAGCCCATGCCTTGTGTGGGGTGAGCTGCGAGCGCGGCGGGGCAGGGTGGCTGCCCCGTCATGTACCTGCGGCTGTTTCCGCGTGAGGTGTGCGCGGCTGTACCTGTGTTCCGTTACCTGATATTTGTAAGGGAGTTTTCTATACCTGGAAAATATCCGCTTTTGCTCATCTCAAGTAATTTCTTCCCATGAGCATCTGTCTAAGCAAGCTCTATCAATATATTCTCAAAGCATACAGTGTGTTTGAGTAAGAGAGAAAATTATAATGAGAGAAATCATAGCTTGTGTAGGTAAAATCTGGTCTACAGCTTTCTTTGTAATCATGTCTCATTTTTTCTTGCCTCAGGTGTAGAGCCACAGCACTGCAAGCATGTCAATCGGAGTGCCTATTAAAGTCCTACATGAGGCCGAAGGCCATATCGTGACATGTGAAACCAATACAGGAGAAGTTTACCGAGGCAAACTTATTGAAGCTGAAGACAACATGAATTGTCAGGTACACCTGCTTCAGGAGGACGAAGGGAGGGCTCTCTGCTCTGTGCCTGGAAAGGCTGATAGCTAGCTTGTAGGCAGCATGATTAAAAGACTGTTGCTTTTATTCTTAGGATAAAGCAAACCATTGCTGTGTGTATACTGTCTTACTGTAGTGAAATGGATTCAAGATTACTGAGTGCTCTGAAGAGGCCAGAGCTTATTCTTACCAGTTTTAGAGTTTAATTGGGCAGTTCTGTTAATAATATCAGGGTTCTTAAGGTTCTGTTCTGTGAACAGTGTTTCTGGTGGACTTCCTTATGTAAAGACACTGATCATAAGAATAAGCAAACCTTGATTTAAGCAATTAAAGCTTTTTTTTATGCTTTAGTCATGACTTTAGTCATCTCAAGAGGACTTAATTTTGATTGACTTTAGGCAAGGTATTGTTGAAATCAAAATGTTTCCTTGGTAGGACTAGACTAGACTAAACAATCGGTTTTATTAAAACCGATTCAATATGAGAAAATTAACAAAGCTGATAAAGCTGAATCACCAACTGGGGAGAAAGCATAAGCCATGGGTCTGCTTGAATAACAGCAGGTATAGGAGTATGTTTAAATGGCCCTGGATCCTTGCGTCACAACTGCAGATAAGAAAGCGTGGAAAGTCTGGCTTTGGTACTTGAATCCTGACTGTATATTCTGCAGGCAAGGGAAATAGGATCACAGACTGTTAAAGGCCTCTGTGAGCACTGCCTTATTTTTACTTTCCAGATGTCCAACATAACGGTGACATACCGAGACGGGCGAGTGGCACAGCTGGAACAGGTCTACATCAGAGGCAGCAAGATACGGTTTCTCATTTTACCAGATATGTTGAAGAACGCTCCTATGCTAAAGAGCATGAAGAATAAAAACCAGGGCTCTGGAGCTGGGCGAGGAAAAGCAGCTATTCTCAAAGCTCAAGGTGTGTAGTTTGTTTATGGGTCCCTGTTCCCCATTTTGCTGTAGAAGACCTGGAAAACTCTCATTTCTATCACTGAGGGCATGTAAACTGTGAGAAACGGAGATTAAGGGTTCATACAGGCACAGCTACAGGTTGGGCAGAGAAGAGATTCAGAGCAGCCCTGTGGAGAAGGACTTGGGGGTGTTGGTTGATGAGAAAATGAACATGAGCCAGCTTCAGTGTGCGCTCGCAGCCCAGAAAGCCAACTGTATCCTGGGCCGCATCAAAAGGAGCGTGACCAGTAGGTCGAAGGAGGTGATCCTGCCCCTCTACTCTGCTCTTGTGAGACCTCACCTGGAGCATTGTGTGCAGTTCTGGTGTCCTCAACATAAAAAGGACATGGAACTGTTGGAACAAGTCCAGAGGAGGCCACGAGGATGATCAGGGGACTGGAGCACCTCCTGTATGAAGACAGGCTGAGGAAGTTGGGGCTGTTCAGCCTGGAGAAGAGCAGGCTGCGTGGAGACCTCATAGCAGCCTTCCAGTGTCTGAAGGGGGCCTATAGGGATGCTGGAGAGGGACTCTTCATTACGGACTGTAGTGATAGGACAAGGGGTAACGGGTTAAAACTTAAACAGGGGAAGTTTAGATTGGATATAAGGAGGAAGTTCTTTCCTGTTAGGGTGGTGAGGAACTGGAATGGGTTGCCCAGGGAGGTTGTGAATGCTCCATCGCTGGCAGTGTTCAAGACCAGGTTGGACAGAGCCTTGGGTGGCATGGTTTAGTGTGAGGTGTCCCTGCCCATGGCAGGGGGGTTGGAACTGGATGCTCTTAAGGTCCTTTCCAACCCTAACTATTCTATGATTCTATGATACATTGTTTTTCTGCATATTTCATCTTATGGTGGGAGTCAAGACTCCCAACTGTTCAATTACCTGAATGTGTAATATTGATGCTACAATAATTTAGATACAGTGAGTATCCTTATTAAACAGGGGCTTTATATAAAATGTTGCCTTCTGTTTTCTAGTGATTGTGGCCACTAGCTGTTTGGAATATGTAGGGAAGGATTCAGGAGTTCTTGATAAGCTTTTGGAGGAAAACAAACTGATATTAAGATAGTACTTAACCTACTGAGAAGCTGTAATTACTAGCCATTCTGCAGCTCACTCTCATTTGTACCTCTCTTGGGAGAACAATGTAGTTATAACAAGATCGAGTAATAATTATGGGCTGCAAAGTCCTTAGTTAACTTTAGCAAATGCAGTTAAGTTTATATGGGGAAGTAAAATCTGCTGAAACATTCAGAGTTCTGTTGCAACACCTATGAAGAGTGTGGGTTTTAAATCTCTTGGGCATACAGATTTGTCTGTCATCTTAGAAGGAACACAAGTGCGTAAGTATTCACTTCATCTGTTCTAAGCAGCAAGTCTGTGTAACCATTAGTTCTGGTTCTTATCACAAACTTTCTTGCTGTCACCGCACTTTCTGAACTTCATAGGACAGCCTCGTTTCCTTGCTTGTAAGCACGAGACTGCGTGTTGCTTATGTTTTGTTTGCCAGTTAAGATGAATAATGAGGTATGTCAAATTCATGTCATCCTTGATGTTTTCTTTCTTCAGTGGCTGCCAGAGGAAGAGGCCGTGGGATGGGCCGTGGCAACATCTTCCAGAAGCGAAGATAATTTTGGTCTTGAGTGACACTTTTTTTTCACTGGGGGTATTAACTTGGTTTCATGTGTATTGGTGTCAGTCTTGCTTAATAAATGTTTCTGACAAAAACTTGTCTGCTCTTGCATGGCAGCATTCCTCCTGGGCAAATACACTGTAGATCAATTGCAATTTGAAAAGGCTTTGGAAAATAGTGGACTTGATTTTTACATTTGACTGTCTTGTGGGATGCATTGACTTTTAAAGATCACGTTTCCTGTTTCTTGTTTAGTCCTGTTGTCATCTGTTCTCTCAAGAATGGGAATATACTTTTTATGAAGAATTTTTTAAACAGTACCTTTTAAAGTTGTATTAGCAGCTGCATTTACAGAAAACACAGTGAAACAAAGTCAGCTTCCTGAGAAGCAAAGCGCTATGTTCTTCTGCTTTATACGAACTTACAGTAGATAGAGGTCCGTCCATCTTCAGATCTGTACTTTGAGCTTGTATTCTTGTGTTTCTTAGTTTTCTCTTTCGATACAGGGATAATTTTTCATTAGGAACACACAGCTTTGATAGCCTGAGTCTCTATTTGCAGTGAAAATTTTGAATTCTTAGTACTTTTTTTTTTCCCTTTGCCTGGGAAAAGAAGACAATATAAAGTAGGGATTTTCAAGGATAAATTTGACATGTTTTGTAAACTTGTAATGCAGGTATATTGGAAAAGTCTTATAAATGGTTATCCATTAAATACAACTCAATACAATTGCTAATCTTCTGAACAAAATTTAGGATCAACCCCAACTTTTGGTTTTTAACAGTCATACAGATCATCAGCTGATCTGCAGGAAGCCAAATGTAGTTGAGTAACTGAAGTTTTTTTTCTTTAATGCGTAGGTGTGGTTGTTCTTACTGACTTAGATGGTTGAGAAGTGTAAGATTTCTGTACCTTATCATATACTTGCATACAATCAACTATCAGTCTGTACTTGTACAGAACAGCTAGTCTTGCTCTTACGCAGTGAAGATTCTCCCTTGTGTGCAGACATGAAAGTTGAACTTATGTATTAATTTGTTGAATTGTCTGTAAATAAAGCTGTACACCATTAGGAAAATCCTGCTACATGTTCTTCTGGGTAGTCATGATCCTAAATATTTGCATTAGAAAGCTCCTTAAAATGTGATTAAGATATGCTTGAACTTAATTATAAAAACATTGTCAAGTTGTCATACTCCTAGATTGAGGAATTTGTCCATATGACAGGACAGTTTTCACAAAGCCTCACTTCAAAACATGGCATATGAGTCATGTTCACACAGCTGTAGTGCTGAAGTTGTTATTTCCAACTTAAAAATCAGCAATTTGGGCCTTTAGTTAATGATATTAAACACTTCTTCTGGAAATGTGAAATTCTTCAAACTGATGGTCACTCAGAAGAGAATTGTGACTGGTGTTAGTTCATCAGGTAATTTCCCTCTTGAGAGTCTGTGTAAGATACAGGCAAGTAAAACTGCACTGGTCTGTATACAAACTACAGCCTTTCTCATCACTAGTAATAGCAGCTCTTTGTACTGTTTGGAATTCTTAAATAAGTTTGGTTCTAGCTCTTCCTGTGGGAAAGAAGACATCCTCACAGGATTTCCTCTCCATGCTTAAGGCCTCTGAATTTCACAAGACTTTTCTGAGAAAGACCATCTTAAGGTCAACCTGAAGCCGAAATCCATTTTGAGTCTATAGTAGATGCCCAAAAGGACTGACTGGTTTTAACCCACAAAGGAGAAAACAGTTCCATCTTGTTTTGTGCCATGGTCTTCATGGTAAGAATTGAACTGTCTGCTTCTAGTATCCCATGCAAATGGCTGGGATCTCTGTAGGTGGGTTGGTAGGTAAGAATAGGTACTTGTTGACATCCACTGGCTTTCCTTGTTGCTGGTAGTATATGGTGATATATTATGGCTATTTGAAATATGTGTTTTATTTTCAGTCTGTTAACTGTCCCTAACTGCTTTTCATACATCAGGCTTGGATTGTGCTGCTAGTCAAGTTGGAATTTTTGTACAATGGAGTTACGGTCAAGAGGAAGAGCAAGAATGGCACAATACAAATACTTTCTGTATAATGAGTCAAGTATCTGCTGCAAGATTTTATAGGATGCTTCTTCAGCAGCTAGAACTGCCTTCTCTTCTAAAGCAAACACCTAATAGAAACTTGAGATTAATTAGTGCAACAATTAATTGCCATAAATAGTTTAAGATGGAGTGTGTGAGTGTGGAAGGATGGCAAGCTGTTCTGCTTAAAGGGTGTCAGCTTGGCCATGGCTGGGTGACAAACGAAGTTACTGCTGCCTTGTTAAGTAACAAGAGAAACAAGAGGTGCACTTGCAGCTTGAGCAGAGAGACCCCACTTTGCCAGATCTCCTTGGCTCTGGCTTCTGCTGTGTCTCCCTGTAACCTCTCAAGGAAACCAGTGGTGAGGATTGGCACATCTTTTTCTTTTGCTGGGACTATCCAGTACTTCCCAGCCCTCAAAGCTCTGCATCCTTTTTCTGTAAAGCCTTCAGAAAGAACTATAAATATGTGGGAAAATACGTAAGCCACAGATGGGGAGCTTGACTAGAAATATTTTTGGGAAGAGATTCAACATTTTGGCAAGGCTGCAAATCTAGCCCATGGGCTTTGTGTCTTGGTGTTTCCTTCTGACTGTTAAACAGCATGCATCCTTTCCTGAAGGTTAGATGCTGGCCGACGGAAATGGCAGCACATTTTGACCACTGACTTCTGATGTTTCTCACCCTCTGTATGAGTGACTGTCACTGAGCACACAGCCATGAAACTTGTTCTTGAACTTTTTTTCCTGCCAGTATTGCCTTAGCTTTGAAGCTTTCTTTAAAGCTCATAGCATCTCTAATCCATGTTAGCTTTCATGAAGATACTGGATTTTGCATAAATGAAAAGCTTTGCAATTAGGTTGAGGCTGAGTCAGAAGGTAATGTGAATTAGTGTTGAAAAATCTGAAGTTTCCAACTGAAAAATTTAAGAAAAAAATAGAAAATTAAATTAGAAAAAAAAAATAATTAGATACGTAAGCCCCACCACGGCAAACGTATCTCTTACCAATTTCTAACTGTATTAAATGATGTGCTAGTTTGTTACAGGCTGCTTTGAAGATCCTGTGTGTGAAGTCTGGTTTATCCTTACTTGCAGTGCGCTGCGTCTAAATTTCCTGTACGTAAATGATGTCTCATCCACTAGATGGCTCTGTCGGTAAGAGAATGAAATAACAAGAATCCAGAACCCTCTGGAAGGAAAATAGTGCAAGAAATGTAACTTCTGCTATAAAAATCCATGGACTCGGTACTGTTACAAACTGCAGCGTGAAAATACTCAGGTTATTTTCTTTGTTATTCCATGTTGCCAGAGTGCTGGCTTCATACACAAGTCAGGTTACACCAGCTGTTGATGGTTGCTGTGTGTTTCCCTGGCACTTGGCTAGTTGGGTGGGTGCATTTAGGTAGGTTGTGCAGATTTCTTGAGTTCAGCAGCTTAATCTGTTTCTCTGGAATGGAAGATGCTGGCTCTGGTTTTAGCATCTTCCCTCATTTTTCGCCTTTGTTTTTTTGTTACAGATTGCATCATTTCAATTTGCAACATTTGTTACAGATTGCAACATTTCACTTTGGGGGGGGGTCTTGTAAACCTCTTCCTGTTCAGTGGGTTCAGGGCTCACCGTCACTTCCTGCTTTTGATAGACAAACTACTGGCTTGAAGCTTTGATGTGAACTCGCCACTTTGATATCATTGGTGTAGATGCCTTTGCATCGCTCATGTGGGACAGAGACACTATAGTGCAGCCACGCAGAATGAAGTGTGGAAAGGTGCAGGTAGAAATTCACCCAGTCATCCTGAGTCAAAACCAAGGCTGTGCTCTGGTAACAAAACTAGAGGGGAGATCCTTATGACAGCACAGAGGAGTTAAATGGTTGGAGCAGGTATCACTTGGGAAAAATGCTTTGCACAGAACTGTAGTACTTTTCCTCACTGATCAGGTGCTTTCATCCCATACATGTGCAGTTCTGCTCTCCAGGTGTGTGTGTTATATTTGATCCTAAAGCTGTATTTTAAGTCATTTTCCAAGGGTACTTTGTAAAATAGCAGTCTGTGAGGTGCTGCATTATGACTGAGAGGCTGAGAAGGGATGCTGTGTAGATGAGTTAAGTGCCAAGCCATGGTGCCTCTTCTCTGAGTGTAATTACATGCCACATTGTAAAAGCCCTGTTCTCCAGGTTAACAGAACTTACAGAATCATAGAGTAGTTAGGGTTGGAAAGGACGGTAAGATCATCTAGTTTCAACCCCCCTGCCATGGGCAGGGACACCTCCCACTTGGCTTATACCAACTCTTAAAATTGTGGAAGAGGCAGCAGCCTCTTAACCTCTGCCAGTGAAAGCAGAAGTAAGGGGAGATGGCCCCTTGATCTCCCCTGCCTTCCATAAAACCTCTTCTAGAAGGGAAGAATGAAGTGGGAAACATGAATGTCTGGTGCTAGTGGTCAGGGTAACTGTACAGTCTCTACCTCTTTCCTACTTAAGCTTCACAGTGAGCTTTCATTTAACGTAGAGATGTCCTGCTTCCTCTTGCCAGTACAATGTGAGCAAGGATGGAAGACTGACATCTCAGTGGAGTAATTATTTGGTAAGGCAGAAGAGGGTGGAATTGTGAGGTCTGCAAGAAAGTGTCAGTGATTTGGTCTCTTATTTCTCAGCCATGGGTCAAAATGGAGGAAAGGTTCTCCCAGGGATTTCCGGTGTTTCCATCCTGACAGACCAAAAACTAGACTTGCATCTTATTGCAGCTAAGCTGATTTCAGACAGTAAGACCTAGTCTTCCTCCTCACAAATTAGGTAAAACTAACTTTATGGAACCCTCCTGCCTTCAGTGTTTCTTTGTGAGGCAATAGGGATACACCACATTTAAAGCATGGCCCAGACTAGCATTAAAACAAATGCTGATATGGGCAGTGTGCTGCAGATTACTTTGCAAGTAAGATGATGCTGTTCTCCACCTCCTCATCCACTAGTGTATGAAGTAGCCAAAGCAGTGCTTGTCTGAAATTACTTTTCCAGATCAAGCTG